AAATTTGTTCATCTTGCGCGGGTAGTCTTCTAGCAATTCTACCACAATGTATGTAACGGGGTACCACACTACCAGTTTCAATAATCCGTCTGTGAATCCGAGTAAATAATTGTGTAGACGGCTGACGTCTCTGCGGATAACGTTCTATGTATGTTCTTCGAGCAGCTGTTGCATTTCCATTACATAATCCATAAATAAAATGCATTTCGGCATATTCTTGATTAGTAAAACGATTGTTATCCGCCATTGTACTCACAAATTAATAATTCGTCAACAGACACGATTAAAATATGGTAACAAATGTCAACTATGTTAAAAGTGACAGGCGCCTACTTTTTGAATACGTCAAATTTAACACCTAGCGGTGAGTAAACTCCCTTTGCATTTTGTAAATTTATTAGAAAACTAATCATTTTACATAAAAAATGCAAGAGACAAAAAAATTTCTAAATTCAATGGTCTTTCTAAAAATCTTATGATATTTGCTGTATCTTTGCAGAAAAATTTTTTTGGCAAAAAATAGGATACAGGGTGATAAAAAACACCCTTCCGCTTTCTCAATTTTATTAATATCCACATTATTTATTGGCTTCCTAAAGCTGACTAGTCCCTGAAAATTTCATTATGTTTTCTTTTTCCAACAAAGAGTTACGTCACAAAAACTACTTTTGTAGTTACACCTTTTAAGGCCTATAACTTCAAAACGATGCGTTTAAAAGGTTATGTTTATTAGAGTTTTTAGTCATATTTTTTTATGTACTATCACCACCCAAAGTTTGTAACATACTATACGGGACACCCTGTAGAGTGACATTTTTAAAGTAATAAATATTTAAATATCTCGGAATGAGTTTTTCAATCAGCTTCCATGACGCGGGTGGCTTAGATACATATTTTTTTATAAAAAGAATGTAGTTTCGAATCATATTTTTTTTATCCAGGAAAAAAAACAGTACTTTAGAACATATTGCCGTATTTCAAGAACCAAGTAACTGAATTTATCTCAACTTTCGAATCAGAGCAACGAAACCATTTGCAGATAGTCTATGAGAAGAAAACCCCGTTAAAAGTAGTTTCCGATGTTCGAAGATATCTAACCGACCATTCCGATGAAACAGAAGACCCTGAGCGAAAATCGAAATTTTCGACCTGGTTGTGAAATCAATCCATACAACTACTATAAGTATAGATTCAACCGTTGAGAATTTGATGGATGCCGATGTTGGTGGTTGAAGCCGAGCAATAAAAAGAATTATCACGCCGAATAACAAGTCCAAATACCAGCACGGGTCAAATTCCACGTACCCCACGAGACAGAAAATCAGGAGAAATTGATACCCTGCAGTCATGAGCGTAGGTAGGACTTTTGTTTGGGGTGGGTATTCAGCTGATCAGCCGGCTAGTCCCATCAAAAAGAAACACAGATACCTCTTTTGTAAGTAAATATTTATACAGGGTGGGGTGTCCCACCGGGAACTGCGTCGATCGCTATCTAGGAAAGTACTGCTCCGAGCAATTTGAAAATTTGGTAATATGGGAATGTCCCTGGGGCGAACACAACTAAAATATCTAGAACTCTCCAGCACTTCCGATTATACCGGAAGTCGACAACAACATCGTTATTTTAAATGGGACACTCTATATATTATTGCATTTTCGTATTCTACGTGAAATTTGAGGGTCACTTTATTAAATATTTCCTACACCTAGGAGTTATAGATGTTGAGAGATTAATTTTTAAAGAAAAAATTTGACATGCAAGGGTCCACGGAGATGCTAGTAATTCTTTTCAGGAGCGTGATAAGTGGATTTTTGGTACCTACAAAGATCATAGGTAATACTAAATTATGGTATACCAAGAAATTGAAACATTTAATACTAGGTATTTCATTTGTGCTGTTTCATTTTGATAATTTCAAACAGATATAACTTTGTTAACTTAAATGGAACACTCTATATTTTTTCTGTTGTATGCAGATTGAAATTTCCTTTCAAGCCATATAAGCATTGTTAGGGTTGCCGTTACTACTTTTAGATATATTTGCAATTCTCCATTTTTTGGGCAGTTTTTCTCGTATCAGACCTGTTGTCAAATTGGTCATGACCAGAAACACTCCAAAAACAATTGAAATAACATTACATTTGTCAAGTTAGTTGTTAAGTTATTGTTGTGTCTAAATAGTTTTTGCGTTTTTATCGAAAATTTAAATAAAAATGCCTGCGAATTGTTTGAATTATACTAGTGAGGATTATTTTAATTTGTTTGTTATTTATGTAAAATGTGACAAAGTAATTTCAAGAACATTTAGAGAATCTGCTGTTTTTTTCCATAAATAACAAACAAATTAAAATAATCCTCATAAGTATAATTTAAACGATCCCCAGGCATTTTTACCTATATTTTCAGCAAAAACTATTTGGGACATAACAATAATTTGACAACTAACTTGACAAATGTCAAGTTATTTTAATTGTTTTGGAGTGTTTCTGTTCATGGTCAATTTAACAGATCTGATACGAGAAAAAAAATAGAAAATTGTAAATATCTCTAAAACTAGTAACGGCAACCCTAACAATGCTTATATGGCTTGAAAGGAAATTTTAATCTGCATACGACAGAGTAAAAAATACAGGGTGTTCCATTTAAGTTAACAAAGTTATATAAGTATGTTCGAAGTTATCAAAATATGTAACAGCAAAAATTAGCCACCTAGTATTAAATGTTTTAATTCATTGGTATACCATAATTTAGTGTTACCTCTGCCCTTTACAGGTACCAAAAACCCCCTTGATATCACGTTCCTGAAAAAAGTTACTAGCATCTCCGCGGACCCTCGCATCTGTCAAAGTTTTTCTTTAAAAATTAATATCTCAAAATCTATAACTCCTATGGGTATAAGAAATATTTAATAAACTGATTTCACGTAGAATTCGAAAATGTAGTAATATATAGGGTGTCCCATTTAAAATAACTTAGTTGGTGTCGACTTCCGGTATAACCGGAAGTGCTGGAGAGTTCTAGATATTTTAGTTGTGTTTGCCCAGGGACATTGCCACGTTGCCAAATTTTCAAATTTTTCGGAGAAGTACTTTCCTAGATATCGATCGACGCAGTTCCTGGTGAGACACCCTGTATATTATATTATACAATATTGTAAAATATTACGTTAACAGAAAATTAATATGTGGCCGGCAACGGGAGTCGGTCGGTCAGGTGGACCGAGAGAGTGAGATGAGAAACACGACAAATCTATAAATTTATTGCGTTTGCTATCGCTGCTTATATATTCATGTTATTCTTTTTTTGTCTTTTCTTGAGTGAACGATTACTTATTTCAATATTTTTAATTTCATAATATTATTGGATGATTTTCTTTCTACCTCCCTTGCTCGCTAAGCGCTTGCCTGCAGTTCATTAAGCAGGATGGTTACCTGGCCAGTACTCAGTACGTTCTGGTACATTCATAAGCTTTTATACTCCTTGTATTACACACACTCATTCATATATTTTGAACAAATTTTCTCAAATGGAAATCTAGTTTAAAAATATTTTTGCAAGTGCTGTGATGACGATCCTTAGGGATAAAACTAAGATCTAATAAGCCCAAATAGGTTGTTTTTGGCGTTAAACGTGGCCTCGATAATTTGGGACCGAGGGGGGATATCCCTCTTTGTCCTGCCTTATCTCTGTAAGCCTGGGCAGCCTCGTGAAGATAGGTCCCATCCATCGTCTACACCGACCTCAAGCATAGCCGGTGTAGGCTCTTTGCAAGACCTCCTCTTGCCCTGGCTGGTCCCCGCCTCTTAAAGGCCAAATAGTAGTAGTAGTAAAGGGGCAGCATCAGCCTGGCAATTAGGCCACAAGAGGGCCCTTGTGGCCTAATTGCCACAAAGGCCAAATAGGTACTTACTTCGTTGTAGGTCAACAACAATAAATAGCTTGATGTCTTACTCTCATCAGGTCCAGAGATAACATCAAATGTTACGTCAGATAGAGGGAGCCACCATAGAAAGAAGCTAAAAAGTGTGAATCTCAACGTCCTATTCACGATTGATCAGGTTGTTGGAGGAACAAAATAAATAACTTTCCTAGAAGTTGTGAATTATTTTATTAATCTTTGATTAATTTTTGGTTGAAAATAATTAATAACATTGTGAAATGAAAATTAGAAAATATATTTTAGAAGTCTGAACAGTATCACCCTCTAGCTAAACCTTTAATTTGAATGCAAGAAATGTATTGATACATCCACCACTAACTAGTGATGGGCATAATCGACCATTTTGATAATCGAGTTATCGGTAATCGAGTACTTCTAATAATCTAGTGATCACTCAAGATACGAGATATTGGTCGTTTTCATCCCAGCGGCGCACAAATATGTTTGTATTAGTCATATATTACTTATAAGCGTAGCTAAAAAAAAAAGCTCACGCACTTCAAAACCTAACCACTATTTCGTTTTTTTCTAAAAATTAAAAGAAAAAGGTCACGCAATCAGTGACTACTTGCAGTATGCAGTAACGTTTTTGGGGCGCAACCGCAGGGTAATATTCACTCGAGTGGTAGAAGTAAACATCTCGAGTGATCTCAATAATCGAGATCTCCCATCACTACCACTAACAGTGGTTTTACAGAGCCGCTGGATTTGTAATAAACATTAACAATCAGAATAAGTTTTACATCGCAATATATGCCCATGCGTAGATAGGCAACCAGTCGCTGAGAAAAGAAGCAGATGAAATAATAGAAGCAAAGGAAGTGATACCTGACTTGCACCTAAAGGAGAGCCAAGAAAAATAAGTTGAATAGAAAACATATTTAAAAATACATATGTTTCAAAGCACTACTTTGTTACAGAAATAATTGTTTTTACATAAATTTTACACATAAATCACATAAAGATCTTTCATGCAGGTTGTAGGAGATAAACACATGTATGTAGTTTAATAATTTTATGTAACAAAATATATACCTCTGCATTACCATTTATAAGAAAAATATTTTTAACATAATATAATAATACATCTAATGCTAGATTTGGCAAAATATTTATATTTAATATACAAAATTTTAACCCATTGAAAATTCATAAGCGGCAGGAATTTTCCCTGTAACATATTGATATAAACTGCACTCCAGATCGCCAAGTAATCCAGATGCTCCAAACCGAAATAACTCAGGAGTCAACCAATCATTGCCCAATAATTCCTTGACCAAGATTAACCAGGAAATTGCATCCTGGGCACTTCTTACACCACCAGCAGGTTTCAGACCAACCTACAAAATTCCATACATTAAACGAATTATTAATACATAACGATAAATTAGTGAATAAGTTAGATCATAGACAGGTACTTTGTATATACCTTATAGCCCATTTTTTCAAAATATTCTTTGATAGCTCTCGACATAACAATTCCAAATGGCAAAGTTGCATTTACGGCTTCTTTTCCAGTAGACGTTTTAATAAAATCCGATCCTGCCATCATCGCCACTAAGGAAGCTTTATACACCTGCAATTAATAGACTGTGAAATAGTTTTGATGTACTACAAATATTATAAAATAATAAATCAAATTGTTACATTTTCTAATGTTCCCAATTCACCAGTGGCTAAGATAGCTTTCATGTGACTGTGTGAACCACATGCCTCTTTCATAACCTGTATTTCTTGATATAAAGTTTCCCATTTCCCAGTTAGAACTAAGCTTCGATCTATAACTATATCAATTTCTTTAGCACCTTTCTCTACGGCATATCTTATTTCTTCCAATCTCGTTTTCAGAGGTGTTTGACCGCTTGGAAAACCAGTTGCCACTAAAAACAATAGAAACAATATTTTCAATTGTGAAAAAAATATTGATATACTTTGAATTTATGATATACATTATTTGACTGGAATTGGTTGTTATATTTATATTATTACCTGAGGCCACTTTAACTTTTTCATCCATTCCCATTTTCTTTAGTGTCCGAACCGCATCCTCGACCTTGGAGGAATATACACACACTGCTGCTGTGTGAATGGGGCTTTTCTCATTATATTCAAATCCAAGTTGGCTTAACAAATCTTCAGCGATTGGCTTAGCAGCCTAAAATAAAATTGGGAGATTAGGGGACTAATTTTCCAAAATAGAAACTGTCACCTCTTCATGTTCGGTATATTATGTCGTTTAATTAAGCAGGCCTCTTTGTCAGTAATAAAATAGAACACTAAATATATATTACAAATCACAATCACATGTTATGTACTACAATAGTGAACATTATAATTATAGAGTATATTTATAGACATACAGAAATAATTTTACATTTCAGTCTGTTAGGAAAAAAAAAGTAAATATTAAACTTCTTGATAAAATAAATGAAAGAACTTGATAACTATTATTTCAATTATTGCTCTAAATGCAAATCTCCAAATAACATTTCTGATTATTATCGAATCAAATTATACCAACACACCAGCGTTGCCAGATTTTTTTTCCGGCAAAGCGGGATTTTGAAACTTTTTGAACAACAAAGCAGGATTCTTTCGTCCAAAATCGGGACATACTACGGGTTTATATAATTGATACCTAAAAAAAAAGGTCTGAGGATATCTGGGAAACAAATTGTCCTCAAAATAAAATCGGTCTAAAAAAAAAAGCGGAAAAATCGGGACTGAGCGTGACATTTAATTTTGGCCTTAAAAAGCGGGACGTCCCGCCAAAATCGGGACGTCTGGCAACGCTGCAACACACCCACAATCGATTTATCATCATATTCAAATGATATTACAAATTTTGTATTGTTTTTATTGTATATTACCTTAAAACACAATCTAGATACATTACTATGTGTGTCATCCCCTGCTAAGGTAGTCAAATCTATGCAAGTTACAGCTTTCAACAACCAGGCTGCTCTATATTCATCCTTTAGTTCCCTGCATTTTACTAATTTCTGAGCTAAATTGTTTACTGCAGATAAATTAATATTAACACTATTTATCCATCCCAAATCTGAAAATAGACAAAAATGGAAAAAAGCATTATAGTTTTTATTTCTACTAATACCTAATTCACAACCCGGATTTCTTTCACCAATCATCGTCAATAAAACAATATTAAAATATATGAAATTATAAGAAAATATTTAACTAAATATAAAAAATAAATGATAAGATAAAAACTAACCTATCTCTCGTGTTGATAAAATTACGTTTCTTTTTGACTTTATAGGTACCATAGATAAAAATTTATTAGATTTATATCTGTATTGACTTCTATACCTATACTTCTATCTATGTTGATTTCTACGGTATGCAGGATAAAGAGGGATAATCCCCCTCGATCCCAAATCATTGAGGCCAATTTCTAGCCATAGAATATTGGCGCGCGCGATTTCTACGGTAAACACCACAGACTTCACACCATTTTAATGTTTTGTGCTATCCTTTTTAATGTTATAGATGGAAAAGATGCAGTTTTTTAAGATTACAGAAAATTAAACATACGGTTTTATGTTTCTAAAGGCAGGCAGGCAGTTAGGTACTTGCAAAATATGTAAATACATTTTTCATAAAAATTTAAGTAGGTGATGAACCACGATAAACGCCAATCTAGAAATAATTTATAAATTTGCGATGCTGAAACTAAAAGCTTTTATAAATGAACTAAAGTTAAAAAGTATTGAATTTATCTTTGCCTTATTTGATTATTAATATAATTTTAATTTAGATAACGAAGTGATATATTTGAAATTGTGCAAATTATAGAATTTATATATTCCCCCAGTTCAATTTTTGTATTATGTTGGCAAGAACATATCTGTGACGTTTTATTTGCGTTTGACATTTGACGTTTCATTTTTTAGAATATGTTTTCGTTTTTATTTTAATACGTGTTAATTTTTGTTATTTGCTTTTGGCATATTTTTTTACAGTATAAAACATATTTTAGTATGATTTTTATTTAATATATAAAGTGTATTTATTTAAAAAAAAAATATGTCCTCAAAGCATTTTTGTTTAAAATGGACTAGATTTCAAACAAGTATCTTAAGTGCTTTCGAAAGTTTACAAAATTCCGAAGATCTTGCAGATGTTACATTGACATGTGATGGAATAAGTCTGAAAGCACATAAGTTTATTTTATCTGCATGTAGCCCTTATTTCAGAACCATATTTAAGGTAAGTGTAATGAGACAGATTTGGAAAAATGCTCAGAAATGTTTGGGAATGTATATTAACTGCCATGAAGATTAAATGGTTTAATTATTTCTCTTAAAAAATATATATTTCTGCAATAATATTGTCAAAACTACGATTTCATCATCGTGGAACTCTTGCCTAACAGATCAGGAATCTTAAAAATGCCCAGATGAATATAAAAAAGGAATTTAGGCAATGTATTTAAATTCTTACCAAATCATTGTCTTCATTTTTTAAGGCCTTGTCTTTTGCACTCAAAAAAGCTATTGACTTGTAATAAAAAATATGTAAGAACATTAATTAAAATTTGAGTAGTATTAATAGTTTAACACTAAATAAGTGTATAGCCTAGTACAAGTGGAATTATATTAATGTAATTGCATATTAGTAAATTCAAATTTTCAACACTGTATAAATTTCTTCACGAAGTTTTAATAAACAGATACCTACCATAGTTGTATTGTAGAGAATTCAAGATAAATTATATGAGTTTTGTCGATAATAATCGTAATAGGAAAGATCAAAGAAGCAAAAGTTTATTTGAGTTTATTCAAACCTTGTCTCGATACATCTAGTCTTTCTGGAACTGTAAGATTATGACGTCATTTTTTGCATATACATTATTCCAAAAGAAATCCATAAATTGTTCATAGTGTAGGTATATTTTCTCAGTTGTGAAGTTAATCTAAAAGTAAAGTATGTAGGTAGGTAGGTACCTAGTTAACAAATTTTATTGCAATATAAATTATCTTGAAACGAGAATTAAAAATAATTAAATAATTACCAATGAGAAAGTACTAATTAAATACAATATTTATTGTTCATTTAATTAATATGGACTATTTACTATTGCGCCTTTTTGAAATGCTGGAAAAAGTTTAATTTAAGTTTTTATTTAAGCAGTCTCACAAATTTTATTGTCATTTTCGAATTGAAAAATATGTAATAAATTTTAGTTACTGCTACAAGCTGAAACTTTATGTTTTATTTATACTTTCCAAATAATTTTTTATTTTTTTTTCTGTCTAAAAATAAATAGGTAAGATTTTAATAAGAGCTTACTTACTACTTCCTGTTTACAGGAAAACCCTTGCCCACATCCGATAGTTATTCTGAAAGATGTATCCTATGTGGATTTGATAGCCATTATAGATTTTATGTATCATGGAGAAGTTATGGTATCAGAAGAACAACTTTCTTCTTTTCTTCATACGGCCATGGTATTACAAGTATTAGGCTTAATGAATAATAGTGAAACTGCTCCTAAAAAAACAGTAATTCCTCCTAAGAAGTCAAAAATTTCAAACGAATCTCTTGAATGCCCCACGAAAAAAGTGAAATTGAATCCAAAACAAAAAAAGAATCAACCCACCCCTTGTAGTGGTGATTTACAAAAAGAAGTTGAACAAGGATCTCTTTCCCAGTTTGAGGTGGTAGAAGTAGATAGAATAAAAACAGAAAATGAAATGGAAACAACCAGTAATGAATTCTGTGGGGACGTAAATGAAAATGTCGAGGTTATTGTTGGAGACAAGTCTGAAAGCCAAGGATCTATTTTGGAAGCAGCACTGGAGGTTCGTGATAAACCGAGCAGTATTTTGGAGAGATCACTTACTGCTCAAGCAGTTTCTGGTAAGAATGTTAATTTTTCTTCATGTTCTTAATATTAACCAAAGAAATTTGGCATAATATAATCGTCTTAACCATTGTAACGCCTCAACGCTTTGCACATGTAGTGACAGATATGCATATGGTGACAAAGCTATTTATTGTTAAATGCACTGTTATCTCAAAATTATCTGTCTATGTATTATTAATTTCTGATTTAAATGTACCAAATAATGTGAAACATAATAGACATACATCACACATAACTATATACGGGGCGTTGCATGACAAACTGTACAAACTCCGTTGAGCCTTAAGAGTGGGGGGGGTTATACGAACCAATAAACGAAACAACGGAGGTTTGTGTGTACTATCACAACAGTTTCAAAATTATTGAGCAACCAATAATTAGATGATACATTCTTAACAAGCTTGTTCAATTGCAATCGGAAATATACCGCATTGCCAGACTTTCTAGAATGCTGAAAAGTGCTCCAAAAGTTATTATTATTATTCCTAGGAGAAAAATATACACACTTGTATTTCTGTTTGGTTGGAAAATCGGAAGTTTATGTATCCCGCCAAGATCGGACGTGGAACCTTCATCTAAAAATCGGAACGTTTGGTAACCCTTACCGAGTGCCTAGTAGAACATGTTTGTGCATGACAGTTCAAATTGTTTTCAGTTTATATATTTTGAAAGCACTTCAAATATAAATACGATTTAAATGAAAAGTGAAAATGGAAAATATTGTAAAAACTATATAATAAACATATTTTTAAAGGATAATAACAAATTAGTTTTATATGTGCCAGTAAAAAACTCATTTTGTACTAGTAATGTACTACAAAACCTGACAATGTTTAATGATCACTACAACAGACAACAGTGTTCTATCAACCATTTTCAAAACAGATTTGGCATGGTTACAAAACTAGACAAAATGGTCATTCATTTTTCAATATATAACGGGGTAGAAAATGTATTCATTCTGATTACTTTTGCTCTAAGCATTCCTGCCACTTTTGCGCTTCCCCGGCGAATTTTTTCTTTAATCAATATTGAGTTGTGGGATAAAAGAAATAAAGCCTTGTTGGATTTAATAAAATCAGAACTCTGCTAAATCTCAAACAGCTGTTTGGAGTTTCTTGATATTATTGAATCACATGAAAAATTTTTGGATGCAGCTAAAAGCCAAAAAAAAAAATAAGTTTAAGTAAAAGTATGTTGTTTTTATATTTAAAATGTTGTTTTTTATCGAGTTTACTTTTTTGTTATTTTCCAGAAAAACGTTTAACTTTATTTTTGTTATTTTATTAATATATCGAGGGCGTCATATCAGAAGGGCATACAAACCAAATCTGAAATTTTACAGGCATACGCCTTTCTGATATTATAGTTTTGCAAAATTGGTCCATACGTCTAAGTAAAATGTGTTAGAATAGAGTGTTGATGTTTATGAATATATACGCCCTTCTGATATATTAAGCGAATTGATTAAATGAGGTCATACACCCTAAAAACCCAAAACTGACTATAGTGGCTCTTACGCCCTTCTGATATGATGCCCTCGATATGTTTTGTAAAAAAATATTTGCTGTTTTTCCTGATTACTGAGAAATTTGTAGGTATAGATCAATTAAGCGATCATTTATTTTTTTAAGTGCTAAAGAGTTCATAATGTCCTCCTTTAGCTCTCTTCTGAGTTGGCAACCCTAGATGAGGCTTTATATTATATTTAGGTGATATAATGGGTTAACCCAAACACAAAATACACTATAAACCTAATCAATATCGTCACATTGTATAATACCTGTTTTATATTGCAAATTTCTTCATGAATTATTTCATGAAGAAGCTGGACAAGTGTAATGCATCAAGTAATTTAATAGCAGAAGTACCAACAAAAATATTGAGGTTAAATTATTTGTTTACATTTTTACTTCAGCACTTTACAAAGAGTGATACTTAGGGTTGCCAGGTGTCACGCTTCAGGCGTGTTTCCCACGCTTTTCCACTTGCTGCCAAGCGCAATGCCAAGCTTCCCAAATGCCATACTTTTTAAATTCGATCACAAATTGTCCTGATTTTCAGAGCACATTGACAACACTGCTACGCTAATAAGCGGCTTGACTGAATTCGGCCACTGTGGACTGCGCCACCTTGGATTATGTTAAACATAAACTTGAAGAAGACATAAATTTTAAAGATTTAAAGGCAGACAAAAAATGGGTTGATTTTTTTGAAAACAATAGTGCTCCCAACATGGAAATATTGTGTAATTTTGTGTTTTCTTTGCCTCATTCCAATGCAGATTCAGGAAGAATGTTTAGTCTAATGTTTAACGCTTGACGAAAAGAGCGAAATAAAACTGAAATCAAAACTATAGAGGCCGAGTTGCTAGTAAATTACAATTTCTCATTTTCCTGTAAGGAGTTTAAAAAATATGTTGTTTCTTCTGAGGGCGAACACTTGTTAGAAAAAATTAAACAAAATGAAAAATACTCATAAATATGTAAAGTTTTTTTATTTGTGAAAATGTTTATTTATACTTAAGATTTATTAAGTATGTATTATTTAAGTTTATTGTGTTCAATGTTAAGACATATTTTTGTTGCCCTCTTGTATGTTTGGACATGTGCTACGCTTTTTCCCATCGCAAATCTGGCAACCCTAGTGATACTTAAACTGGCAAAGTAGGAATACAATATCTTTTTCATGTTATCTAATTAAAAAATAGCTATTCCTAACTTATTCAAGAAAATGTATTCATTTTTAGTTTGTTTTTATTTACTATGACTTACTTACAAAGTTAGTAGTAGCTGTCTTCGTTTTAATTTTAAATTCATGAAGTTTGGAACAGTATAAAACCAAACCCTTCATGAATAAATTGATTAATTAATTCATGAAGAACTTTGTGAATTTATTTATGAATAATTCTCAATGTAAAACAGCCATAAGTTGTATTAAAGACTTACGTTTAATTTCAGAGCAATTTTTTCTATATGTGTTCTTATATTTACTGCCTATTAGATTCAGCAACTTTATATCTTTATTGTGATTGAATGTTCTTAATTATGTAGGCAATTTTAACCAATTACCATTTCTTAATTATAGGAAAGTCACCTTCTTCACTACCAATAAATCCTGACAAAATGTGCATACTTCCCGATTTATCGAAAACAATTTTTATTCCACGTAAACCGCCAGAGGTAGAGATCGAGAAGCGTATCATCAGATCTTCCTCAGAGTCTTCCAGTCCATCCACTTTCGATAGGCCCACCGAAATACTTCAGCAGAACATTAAAATAGAAGGGGAACATTGTGAAAGCATCGATTCTTTCTCACCAGATGACTTGAAAGAAATCAATTTTTCGTCTAGAAACATCGACTTGCAACCTCATCATAGTTCGCAGTGCGGTAATTGTCCCCATTGTGGTAAAGTATATTCAAATCAGTCGGCGTTGAAATATCATGTCAGGTTAGTGCATTCAGATTTAACTAATATGTACTGCTGTCATTTGTGCCCGGAGTCCTTTGATTACCGGGAAGGTTATAAGAAACACATGGCGGAAGTGCATATGATTAGGAATTGATATTTTATTATAATCTTGTTTTTTGTAATTATATATTTTTAATGTTATTTAATTTAATAAATTGGTTTTGAGATAACACTATTTTTACATATCAAACCACTGTAAAAAAAATATGTCATTTTAATTACTGTCAATTAACGAGAAGAAATCACCATAAATGAGGGCACGAGAAACGTGTTTTGAAATTAAGAAACACAATATTTTCTTGTTTTTTTAAACAATGTAAATTTAAGATTCTCAAACATTCTCTTGAAGATTCTTGAAATACCAAATATACTCCAAACTTGAAAATGCTGAATGTTTTTCAGTATTTGCAGAAGCAATATTTTGAAAACGTAATTATGAAAAATTGCTCTTCATATTTAAGATAAGTTTAATAAATGTCTGTGCAAAAAAAAAAGTGTTGTGTGGTATAGAATCGAGGAAAAGCAACATTTTTTTGGAGTACAACTTTATTATTTACAAAAAATTTAGGAAATGGTGATGATTGAAGAATTGAGCAAACTAGAAAATTTTTTAAATCTGGAAAACCTGTAACTGAATATTATGAAAAAAATTTAGTATACATTCTACGGTATCCCACCTCACCCACCTCACACAAAAACTAAAAATAGTTGATCGTCTGCGAGACAAATAGAGTAAAGACTTATTGTCTTTTTCAAAATCTGTATGTTGATGAGATCCTATTTTTGTTGACAGGACGAGTGCTTTTAGGCAGTATATATTTTCAGTGCTATGCAACTGTAATACAGAATATGTCCTCGATTTTATTATTTATGTGTAGATAACAACAAATGTCCAGCATTACAGTAAGCCGAATATTAGAAAACCTGGATATTATACTCTATTCTACAAGGTGGCATAAAAATTATTCCCCTATTGGAAAATGCTCTCACAATAGAAGCAGAATAAAAGTCAAACCATGAATCATTATACTCCCCGTGAACACCAAGCAATTGTCACTGTTTTTGAAAAATTACACAGCCACACAAAAAAAGTTGTATGTACTTTTCATGCAACATATGTTATCCATAGTATTTTTGCCTCCTGATGACGAATCCGGTGTCAGAATTGACCTATCACATCACAGGAATTTCCTAACTTCAAAAAACAGGTCAAAAATAGCAAAAATTCACGAAAAAATGTTAGGAAAAATACAGAATTTTTTTTTTCTATATTCAAATGTTCATTTATATGGTTAAGACCCCGCCGAACGTGAATCCGCGGTCAAAATTGATGATAAAAAAAAGGTCAATTAAGGTCATATATCACGAATTTTCATATCGGGGTCGCTGATCACGGATCCAAGGTCAATTTTGCAAAATTCAAGATGGCAGATCTAAGGTGGCCGACCAAATGTTAAAAAATAACACATTCGCGTCAAATTTGGTATACGGGGGTTTTCGGGATCGCTGATTACGTAATCGAGGTCAGAATTGCGAAATTCATTTTGTAATATTTTTGTTTACTGTATAACCTGAGTACCCAATCATGTTTTAACTTTCTTAAAGTACATAGGTAATTGATTCAATTTTTAAAAACGAATTTTGTAAATCTGATCTCGGATTCATGATCAGTGACCCCTAAAACCCCGTATACCAATATGGCGCGAATCTGTTACTTTTTGAAAATTTGGTCGGCCATCTTTGCTCCGCCATCTTGAATTTTGCAAAATTGACCTCGCATCCATGATCAGCGACCCCGAAAACCCTCGTATACCAAATTTAGCGCGAATCTATTATTTTCTTAACCATATAAAAGAACATTTGAATATATAAAATAAAATTGTACATTTTTTAGCATTTTTTAGTGAAATTTTGCTATTTTTGTCCTGTTTTTTGAGGTTAGGAAATTCCTGTGATGTGATAACTCAATTCTGACACCGGATTCGTGATCAGGAGACAAAAATACTAAAGATAACATATGTCGCATGAAAAGTACAGACAACTTTTTTTTTGGTGTGGTTGTGTTCTGTCCAGGGTTTCTGATCGAGACTTCTTGAAGCGAGAATTCCCGGGAAATCTGGCCTTACTCGAGACGAGAAAAAAGTGTTGAGAAATTGAGAAATTTAAAAATCACGCGCGTCTTAAGTTCTTGACTGGAGTTCGTTTCGTTCATGCGTTCAATTCGTTTCCTGACAAATAACTGAGCGGCTAAAGTGGATTCTCTACCAGCTCATGATTTATTTATTTTAAGTGTTTAAGGTTTTAGTTTACTTTGAGGATTCTTTTTTTTTAATGTACAGGGTGATTCACTATATTTTGACCCCCCCTTTAACTTTTTTGTTTTGAGTTATAAAAAAATGTGAAATACAAAAGTTGCACGATTTTTTATGAAGTTTTCGAAAATGATAGTAGAAAAACAAATGAAGTTCAAACAAAATGGCCGCGGATGTTAACTTTGTTAATTTAAATGGAACACCCTGTATATTTTTACATATTTGGATAGAACGTTCCTTGTCGAGCATAGTCATATAGGGTTTGTTGGGTCCATCTCTAATAATAGGCGAGATAATATTAAAAAACGAAATGATGTTTTTTTATTAAGAAAATAAGACATCTTGTAATTGTTAGACCTCTTTCAGGCATTTCTGCCTTTTTTCCAATTACGTAAGGATTTAGATTTAGTTGTAATATATTTTGACATATCGGACATTGATATAGTCCAAAATGCGTATAGGTATTTCAAGTAAATCTCACTAATTAGACCGTGTGAGGCCAATTACTCATGGACAATCTTATATATGGTAGGTCGTGACAATGACAGGTAGTAATGCCATGATAACATTGTTATTGTTTGACAGTTTGTATTAGTATTTAATTAAAATGGGTTACACAGAAGTAGAAAATTGAAATATTAGAAATTAAAATAAACTATGGAAAATTTCATAAAAAATCTTGCAACTTTTGTATTTCACATTTTTTTGTAACTCTTAAAACAAAAAAGTTAAAGGGGAGGGTCAAAATATAGTGAATCACCCTGTACATAGTTATAAGTCTGTGTAGAAATTTTATTATAAGCACATACCTAATGTTGATGTTGATTATGAAAATATTTAGTTCCTGTTCCTTTAGTTGATTATTTTATTTTTGTTTTGTTAATTAAAAGATTGTGATTATAAGTGAGATATTAATAGGAAGAACGCTTCTGTATCTTTAAATTAAAGCTTGTTTTTTTTAAGATTTCTTCGGTTAAATTCCTTATTTACTATTTATTTAATTAAAAGACTGCATGATTAATGATTATTAATAATTATTATTGGAAGAAAACTACGATTCAAAAACATTGAAATAAACATAAGTATATTGAAAGTGTTTAATAAAAAAACAAGTTAAAGGTTTTTAAGAAGAAACTCAAAGTTTAATTTAGTTTTGTTAGTAGAAGTAGAAACATAAGTAATTAATAAAAATACTGAATAAATAATAAATGTCAATGATGATTGTTAAGTATAATAGCATGTTTATACATATTTCGCATTGCAATACCAAAATTATGACTTTTTGGCTCAACTTGAATTTTATCGTCGATTTTCTGGTTGTGTGGCACCAACCCGGCAAACACTACGGCTTTTATCCATTCGTTTTGACGAGTTTGGCACAATACAGGACAGTAGCATCCTGAGAGTAGCCTTCAGTCCAAGAGGAGCCTTGAACATGGACAGGCTATACAATTGGACATCAATAAACTATCTTTACAATGAATTTTGATAAATTTCACAAAAAGCAAATGGTGCCTGAGACTACCAGTCATATATAAATTACAGCCAAACTAAACCTTGACCATGATGAGAATAATTTTCCAATGAAAATCATCATGGGGCTCTTAAAATCTGCATATGCCGCAAATTGACAAATTGAGGTTGGAGAACACTGCACAAGCGACAATAGACATTCTCCTTTTAGCGATTTGCATTGGCCTGGAAGATTACCCGATTTGAGCTATCCAAATTTCTTTTAGATGTTAGGGGTCTATACGAAGACCTTGGCAGCCCTAAAGGAAAACATTTGACAACTGGAGAATTTATCTCCAGAAGTTTTGAAAAGTTACGGAAACTGCTAAACCAAGCCCAAATCTGCATCAACTCTGGCAGTGGCCACTTGACCAATATCCCTGAATTAAAATTTTGAGAAGTCTTAACTATACATAATCAACAAACAGAATCAACTCTTTTTATTTACAAAGTTACTATGTTAGGAAATCGAGTGAATTTTTTTTTATTATCAACCACGTTTAAATAAAACATTTGATTTTGAAAAAATATATATTAATACTCTGTACAAATCACTATACATATTAATATGTACAATAAATAGTCAAACTCAATTAAACAATCGTAAAATTTCAAATTAGTAAACAATCTGTAGGATCTACTATAAATAATTGTGCTCAGCTATCCAGCGGATCGGCAATTATTAATTCATCAGCCTCTGACGTGCTTATCGTTATCATCATCTTTTCTTCATTACTCGAACTGTCCGATGACACCGATTGGGTAGACGTCGCAGCTTCCTGAAACAAAGAAAATCCTTTTTAAAACGTAGTAAAGCAACAAATGCTTTTAAAATTTAACGGTAGTGAAAGGGGAAGTCATTAAAGCAACATTTAGTCTGTTTAGGAAAATCTTTGAGAGGTCTACTCAAACATATTTTTTATCACGAGAGTTTTTTGTAATAGTTACTACAATTTGTCGTATAACAAAAAATTGTTATTTGGGACTAATTACAAATGTTTACTGAGTTAAACGTTTCCGCTCGGCAATTACAGTAATTCTATAAATAAGGAAGTCTAAGAAATTTATGAAATTAACTACCTGTGAATAATTAACACGCGTGATAGCATATTTAATATTGTTTTTAGTATCTGCAATCCAAACTGATTTCATTTCGCTCTCTGGTTGCTGTTGTGCTTGGGGTTGAGGTTGTTCTTGATCCCAAGTGTCATCCTCGTCTTGGTCTAATACCTCTTGCCGCTGTAATATACATAAATATGCTTCAACTCAAAATATCATGCAAACATAACTTAATACTAAAATAAAAATAAATATTGCAAAAACCAATCTAATCCGTATACGTATTTGTTTTGTCTTAATATTTATTTTGTATTACACTTTGGTGGTAATAGATTTATTCATTTTACATTAAATATTTTGAAAAAAGTCGCTTTAGCATGCTTGCCAATTAAGGTTAACTTTTACTTTACGTTAATGTTATTAATGTAATTCAAATTAATTCTAAAAGTGTTCTTAAATTCTCATCAAACAAAGTTAGTAGAGTATCGATATACAGAGCCTTCATAAATGTTTACAAGCCGAGTGACTGCTGAATGATTCGTGAATGAACAATGACAAACCGTTACGTCTACGCTCAAAATAATGCGATCGCTGATTGGTTGAATAGAATCTCCTAAAAAATTACACCAATCACAGCCAATGAAATAGAATAGTCTTTTTTAATATAACCTTGATCTTAATGTTTTTATTTCAACGAAATTTAATTGCCAATGTGAAGAAAACAAAATTATTGATCAGGTGGCTCATTTATGAAGGCTCTGTATCATGTTTACCATATCCATGGTGTCGCCAAATCAAACAGAAAACCTTATTTTTTAAATTTCTTTGAAATGAACAGTATTTTGTGTTATTTAGTAGTATTTTGTTACATATTGAATATATGGAACTTATACCATCGATATCCTATACAGGGTGTAAGTTTATGGTGGTTAATTTTTTAGTAGTAACAGTACGTGTTCCCCAGAATATTAATCTGAAATTATTTTTTTAAATCAAATAAATAGTTGAGTTATAATTTGTTTTTAAACTATATTGTACTTTAAACTGTCTTATGTATGCCGCCATTGGACAACACTTGGACCAGAGTTTTATCAGTGTTGCCAATTGTTACCTTTTCAAACCGACTGTATGAAACTAACAAAGTGATTGATAAAAACAGATTGCTTTTGAATGACTTTGCAATATGTTATTTTAGTCACCACATATTTTTTTATGTCAATGTGGACAAAACACCAAATAATATATTCTGGTGTTTTCACAATATTAATACTGGTATGTGGATAGTCATACCATACTAATGATTGTTAAGGCCCCCTAGACGGTCAATATTATCGTGCAATAATTTATTTCACCTCTGGTATAGTTGTTAACGATATCAATTGGAACATGTAGAATCGAAGGCGGCGCGCTTGTCGTCAAAGCAAACCTGTATTGGTCCACTAGATCGTAAATAATTTTTTGCATGGTATTCTATAATTAGTTTGGTGTCAAACGCGGCTCACTTGGCTTTGTCAGTGCCGTAGAGAGCAGTGCTTGGCATGGTATATTTGTTGGTATAATACGTATTATTAATTATTAGTTAATATTAATATTTGTTCATATCGTAACCAGGAAAGGATAATAGTTATTAAAATAAATATTATATGTAATTATCTAGTAATTTAGCATGGCTTTCTGGAGACCCTTTGAGAAGATAACGAAATAACCCGAGAAAATCCCCAAATAGTCGAGCCGGTTTTTGTCCAAAGCGTCCAAACAAACTCAGTTTAAAAACAAAAATTTACACGAACCAAGTCAACGTATTATTTTAAATATATATGAATTTTTGAAAAGAGAAAATAGTGAACAATGTGATAAAGAAATTAGGAAACGGATTAGCGAATTAACTGAGATATCAAAAACGACAATTTATCGCGTAATTAAAAAAGGAGACGTTGTTAATCACGGTACAAAGAAGAAACGGAAAAATACAAAATTAAAGAATATTGATGATTTTGCCAGAGATGTAATACGGCACACAATTTATATGTATAAAGAAAATAAAGTTCCTACTTTAAACATGATTCGAGATAAATTAAGCGATTATCCTGATTATAATTATAAATCTTTAGATACTTTACAACATGTTTTATTAGAATGCGATTTTAAACATAAAAAACTTGACAATCGTATGGTAATTATAGAATCACGACATATAGTTGCACTTCGGGAAGATTATTTACAAAAAATTCGAGAATATCGTCAACTAAATAGGAATATATCTCGGAATATAGTATTTCTAAACGAGACAGGACAACATTTTTTGGACGCTTATGGATTCCATAGTGTTTATGAGTTAAATGTTTTTATGCGGTTCCAACTGATATCGTAACGACTGTACTTCCTAAGCGAACATGTCGAGTGACACTGCACTACATTTATTTTGATACACAACTTAACAGATATTACGCAATATTATCCACAGACGATACAATATATTCCACATTGTAGAATAAAAATCAAACTATTTTTGATTCACTCAATATATTGCCCAATCTTTCAATATAATACCTAGGCGGTCAATATTATTGTTCAATATGAAATATTGTACAGGGTGATTCACTATATTTTGACCTCCCCTTTAACTTTTTGTTTTAAGAGTTATAAAAAAATGTAAAATACAAAAGTTGCACAATTTTTTATGAATGTCTCGAAATGTTATTTGAAAAACAAAGTCCAAACAAAATTGCTGCGGATGTTAACTTTGTTAATTTAAATGGAACACTGTATATAACAACTAACAAAAAAGTTAATGGTGGGTCAAAATATAGCAAATCACACTACAATAATATTGACCGTCTAGTGGGGGCTTAAGTAAAACTAATTTGTTTAGAGAATATCTATAATAGAAAAATAAATAAAAATACTTACTAATCTGATTGATTTGAATTATCTGTTAAAATAATTTTAATTTTTAATAAAAAAAATTATTACTATCTTTTAAAGCAGTGTTTAATTGCAAATCCTATTGTGAATGCAATGACTTCTGACATTGTCCTAATTTAATGTCACTTTACATATTCCATCGAAGTAGATAAGAAGACCATAAAAGTAGGCAGGGACACATTTAGGAAAGTTAAAACAGGTACTAATAAGAAATGAAACAGTTCTAAACAAAATACAGTGTATGTTCTACTCTTTTTTCTTATTCAGTCATTTCATCAGTCAAATTTGTTTTAGACATCGTAAATTAATCCAAAACAACATCAAAATTAAATCACAATATGTACGAAATAAAAACTGTTATATGTGTGAGGTCCGATTCTGTATGTAAACTTATATTTGGCAAAAATGTTCAATTCATTTTGACCAATAATTTTGCCGTCATTGTTTACACGATTGGAATATACAAGTTGACTTTGCACCTGATATAACACATCAACATGGTGGTAGACAGGCAAAAACAGGCCAACATTAATTCCAATGAAACGAGAGGTGGAATATGTTGCCACTTCATTTTATTACATTTATTCTAGTTTTCAGTGTATCTGTTTAGAAGGTATTTGTAATACACTTATGTCACGACTTTCTATGTGATGTATTATCTTTTTACAGAATCAAAATAGAATATATTATAGTGCATATTTTTATTACAATTGATTTTGTAGTCAAATTTAAAATACTATTTAGTGAATTATCTCTATGTAGTATAAGTATAAAACCTTACAAGTTGTTAATTTACTTAGGTCCTTAGTGATGATAGTGTGTTTCTACCTTAAATATTAAATTTCTGTGTGATATAAATAAACATGTATGAATCAAGAAAGATGAGATTTAACAGCTATACATGCTGCTTTCATGACGAAATTTGAAAAAAAAACAAACATTTGTGTTTGGAAAGGTCAAAGTAGCCTCTGTACAAATATGACCTCCATTCAAAGTTACACCCTGTATATAACTTCATTTGATTTCAGTTTACTAAACTTTTTGGATGTAATCTGAATTAGCTTAATACCACTAAAGAAATGCAAAAGCAAAAGAGAAATAATAAAAAATTAATAGTGAAAAAAAATTGAAAATAAAATAAAAAGCTTCTTTGTAACATACAAGAATGCTTCTCTACAAAATATGTTTTAATAAAAACTAACATACCATTATCCGTTGCTTTTGATGGGTCTTCAAATGTTTCGACAAGTGGTCTGACCGCATAAATTTCTTGCTACACTCATTGCACTGAAACCTCTTTTCCCCCGTATGGGTTCTCCTATGCCTTTGCAACTCATCAGATCTTGTAAATCGTTTCCCACAAAACAACCAGGTGCACACAAACGGCCTTTCCCCCGTGTGCCACCGCAAGTGTGCTCTTAAGTGACTGGTCTTCCCGTAAACTTTATTGCAGCCGGGTATATGACATATGTGTTGTTTTTTTCTGTCTGAATGCCGTTCACCTTCCCTACAGTTTGGACATGTGCAAGCCACTCTTCGAACCCTCTGTTTTTGCAGTCCATCCCCATTTGGATCGTTGGTCGGCGTGGTGTTGTTTGGATCTGTTGGTGACGTTGTGACGACAACACCAGGGGTTAAAGGGGCGGTGGTAGCGGGTTGGGCAGTGGCTGTAACATTAGGGATCACTTGCCACTTACTGGGATCGTTGGGATCTTGTTGGATATGTTGGCCTACTGCTATTTGGGGTGCTGCGGCTTGTTGGGTTATTACTTGAACATTGCCAAGTCCTAAAATTGAAATAGCAGGTATTAATCCATAGTGGAAACATTGTAAAACATAAATTCCTCATAAAATATGAACTAGAAGATGTCGTATGTGACAGAAATCCATAAAAAAATGAAGACAAGTACAGTCAGCGACGAGTATACAACGAAGGAATGTATCAATGTGAGGGAACAGAATTAACACTTTCTCTTGTAGATAAAAATTCTAATTTATCCAACATCTAAAACAAAATAGATGTCCCAACACTTGATAACGATGGTGTAAGAAATATATGTGCGAATTACAAACTAGGATGAAACGGAGAAAAAATGTTCATGATATGTTAAAATTTGGAGTACTGGTAGTCATAAAAGGAGATAATATATGAATGAAAAAGTGGGAGCATTATGGAACTCCACCCTGAGACAGATGGAATAATCCGAGTTGTGTCTGGTAAAACTGCAAATGGTTCTACCATAAAATGTTCAGTGTTCAGACTGTGCGTTTTTCCCATGTATTGAATTATCTAAAATTTGTATTAGTGTTCAGTTTTACTGTTAGATTATTTATATTTTAGTTGAAACTAAGACCTTTCAAGGGGGGCAGCATGTTCGAATTTACCGTATTATGATAGGGTACCTAGCTTTTTCTGTGACTCCCAGTAATTCCGGCTTTGAGCATTTCTCAGATTTTTTTTGTTGTGGTTATTAATTACTTTATACATTTAAGTTATTATAAATTAAATTAGGGTAAGAAGGCTGAAAACTGAAATTACATCAACTACCTAATAAAGTAGTCACTCAACAACTACGAGAGGGTTCACAGACTCTCTCCACCTTTGGATAATACGAGGGTGGTCTGAAAAGTTTCCGACCTCAACATGAAGATGGCAGTACTTGTAAATAAAAGCTAGTGAATTTTGTTGTTCATCTGTTGACAGTTACTCACCAAAGTTTCAGCCATTTTGGACGCGCAGTTGTAATGTAACAGTCGTTTGAGTGAGTTGATGTGTGTTTTTATGAAAATGGACAAAATCGAGTTTCAAGCTGTCATTAAATATTTGTTTTTAAAAGGCAATACGCCTACGCAAATCAAAGATGAGCTGGATTCTGTGTATGGGACTCTGCACCATCATTTACCACAGTGAAATTTTGGGCAGCTGAATTTAAACGTGGCCGTAAGAGTTTGGGAGACAATGAACATTTGGGATGTCCAAAAACTGCAACTACCGACGAAAACATCGCCAAAGTTCACCAAATGGTGCTAGACGACCGCCGAATTAAAGTGAGAGAGATAGCAGAGGTTAAATGCGCATTTTAGGCGCAATAAATCCGAGTTTTGGCGCCGATTAATTACTGTAGATCAAACAAAAATACAGTCCAAACAGTGGACTGCAAAGGGGGAACCGGCTCCAAAAAAAGCAAAAACTATTTTTTCGTCTGGGAAAGTGATGGCGACTGTTTTTTGGGATAGTCATGGAGTTATTTTAATCGATTATCTTCAAAAAGGAAAAACCATTACAGGAGCATACTATGCATCATTACTTGACACGCTGAAGGCAGGACTTGTGGAAAAACGGCCACATTTGCAGAAAAAGAAAATCCTGTTTCACCAAGACAACGCACCATCTCACACCTCAGAGGTTGCCATGGCGAAAATCCACGAATTACGGTTTGAACTGCTTGACCATCCACCTTACTCACCAGATCTAGCCCCAAGCGACTTCTTTTTGTTCCCTCATCTAAAAATTGCGCTCAGAGGACAAAGATTTTCGTCAAATGAAGAGGCAATCACCTTCGTGAACAATTATTTTGCAGAGAAAAACGCCGAGTACTATTTGGACTGGTTACAGAGATTGGAAGCATCGCTTGGAGAAGTGTGTAGAGTTACAAGGAGACTATGTTGAAAAATAAAAAAAAAAAATTCTGAAAAAATGTCTTGTATCTTTGTTAGGTCGGAAACTTTTCAGACTACCCTCATAAATGGTCTGAACGTATATATACAGGGTGTCCCAGAATATGGACAATTTCTCCGATTTATACAGAGGACGTTAAAATAACATGACAAATTCCTATAAAAAAATTTTCTAGATGTCCCCCCTAAGGAAATACAGACATGCTAAAGGACGCTTTTGAAAATCCATTTTTTTTTTTTTAAACTTTTAAAGTACTTTGTGTAATTTAATTATTTTTAGGACAAAGCAAATGTAAATAAAAGTGTCATTTTCTAAATGGACACAAAGAATGCAAATTTCATCGGTTTATTTCTCTTTACGGATGTAATTAAAATCATAATTACACAAAAATAATTTTTTCTCAAAAACTCCATTTTATCAATATCAACCAAGAGTGTTTATTTTTAGTTTAAAGTTCAAGTTATCTAAAAATATTATTTTTGTGCCTTTATCATAAAGGGTGTAAAAAAAAATTGACATTGTTTTACAGCTAGTCCATCCCTGGCAAACCAAATAAGCTAAATTGTTTTCATTAGTCAATTTTTAAGCAGTCTTATCTGTTGTCTATCGTATTAAAAAATAATAAAATTACACAAAATATTACAAAAGTTATTAAAAAAATCCGATTTTCAGGAGCGTCTTTTAAGGGTCTGTATCTCCTTAGGGGGACCCTCTAGAGAAAATTTTTATAGGAATTTGTCACGTTATTTTAATGTCCCATGTATAAATCCGAGAGATTGCCCACATATTCTAGTACACCCTTTATATTTTCAAACAAAATATACTTAGTTGTCTAGAAACAAATGATACTATTTGTTTCTATTTAAGTCAGACAAAGTGTTTTAGAGAGATTTGGAAAAAACAATCATTATTTCTCAATTTGCGGTATCCGTTTTATTTCCAATAGTTTGTGGTAGTTCCATATACACAGAATATTGGGACATCTTGTAAAACAAATATACTTAGGCCCAGTACTTTGAGTCTGGGTTAAAACTTGATTAACTGATCAGGCGAGTACTGTACATATACTGATTTATTTTATAAAGGATAATCACAGTCTAACCGCCTGATTAATTAATCAAGCCTTAACCGAGACTCAAAGTACCGAGCCTTAATGTTCTATCTCCATGTTTAACGTATTAAATAAATATATTTATTTGTTATTATGTCTTTTGATACTGTCAGCATTGCAGTGAGCTTGGGGTACATTAGATGTATTTGTTAGGTCCCTTGAGATTTGTTACTAAATTTAATAAAAATTTCATTATTTCTTACCTGGTATGTTTTGTATATTTGGTATGGCTTGAATATTAGGCACTTGTATAATATTTCCTAAATTTCCTAAATTTCCAACTGTAGCACCTCGTACTTGCTGCAAATTCGCCGCTGGTATAACGGTAAATTGCTGTCCGTTCGCTCCCGTAAAAGTAAGCTGGGTATTAGCATCCAATTGAGCCACCTGGGCCGTGCCTTGTGCAACAGAAGTGGGTGTTTGAGGAGCTGCTACTGACGTGGCAATTTGCAGTTGTTGAATTTGTCCGTTGGGCGTCAGGATGTTTGCAAATTGGGGTTGAGCTTGAATAATGTTAGGAACTGCGGTGGCTGCCAATTGCACAGGGAAATGTATCGTTTGGTAGACGGTTTGACCATTACCCGTCGATATAGGAACTTGTATCGGTATGGTCTGTTGCATGGGAAACTGCACCATCTGAGGAAGGGTTGGTCGGACAGTAACGCTTTGTCCATTGGATAGCTGCACGGTGGGAAGGTTTTGTAAATTTTGAAGATTTTGGAGGTTCTGGATATTCGCGGGTAGTACACTTGGACCTCTTATTATTTGACCAGGACTGAAAATCTGCTGAGGTTGTTGTCCCCCTATAATGAATATGAATAAATTAATTAAACAAACATTATTTAAAATAAATAAAAAGTCAACCTAACGTTTATTTGTTACTTTTGTTCACACAAAATTTAGTCATACGATAAGTATTGAGGGAAAAGAAACACATTTTTCAGTGTACAAGGAAAAATAATATGAACAAATTCTAGTCATAAACCTGTCACTAATATTGTGATTTGTTGTTCAGAAATTTTCAGCAAATGATTTTTAGCATTGTCCACAAAGAACATTTTTTTAGGTGTTTAGTAAAATAATTAAGGATATACAGGATGTTTCCTAAGTCTGTGTCATAACTTTAGGAGGTTGTTCCTTGGATCATTCTAGATTAAAAAGCCTTGATGAATCAAGGGTCTAAACTTACTGGTTTTCAAGATACAGGATGCTGAAGTTTAAAACAAAATGTCATATTAATTCAAATATCTCTGAAGATGTTTATCCTAGATTGATGAAACTTGACCTAATAATTTATCTAATTAAAGGCAAGAATTCACTGAACTCATATACTAATATGTCAACCAGTGCCACCAGTGGCGATACTGGGATACACTGTCATTAAGAACTCCAGAATTTCGATGCCACTAAGTAGATATTTTTGGCATTAGATAAACATTAAATTTTTATTGTTACATGGGAAAAAACAACTCAACTTATAAGACTGAAAAATGTGTATTCTAATAAAATAGATAAGGAGACCAACCAAATAAATGCACCATGATTTAAAACAGTTGAAAGGAATAAACAACTTTAAATGTTTAGTACGAAATGAAATAAAACAAAATTTTAAATACATAATATGTAACCCTCAAGTTCAAAAATTCTATTGCCGTACAAATTTATAACTGTCTGAATAATAACGAGAACACAGCTTCCAAAAAAATAAATTGATTTTTGTTTTGGACTATTGATGACTAACAGTCACCAATACCAGAACATAGGAGATACTGGACTTCAAGGCCAGGACATAGCCATTCTAAGGAGCTTATGGAGTATCCTTCGAAGGGAAGAGCGAATGAGCTACTGAGCTTGAATAGAATCCGGCTCAGGAGAGTGACAGGACTCATAACGGGACACTGTCACTTTAGGAAACATCTACATAAGCTAAAGCTTGTAGACAGTCCAGTCTGCCGAGGATGTGAATCAGCGGATGAAACTTCTCTGCATATCCTGGGCGAGTGCCCGGGATTTGCACGTAGCAGAATGACGCACCCTATTTGGAACCCAAGGAATTGAGAGAAGTGTCCGCAAGGAAGCTTTTGGACTTTGTAAAAAGGATAAATCTACTTACTGAATAGGACTAGTAGTGGGATGCACAATAGGCCTAATTAGGCCGCAGTGCTATGGGACCTTTTAAAGGACCAACCACTAGATGAAGAAGAAGGATGAAGAACAGTCACCAATTCGCGTTTCAAACAAAAAATTCCCTTTTTTTGTGGAATACACAGTTAATTGAATTCGACTGTGGTACTTATATTCAATATAAAATAACATCTAATAAATATATTTTCAAAATTACCCGTTTTTTTTTCGAATACTTACATTAGAAGATTCCTTTTTAAAAAACAACAAAATTTAAAAATAAACTTATCTAACTTCCAAAATATATTATCGAAATTCTGAGGTTCTTAATGAAGGTCTCTCCCACTATCTGCGCTGTTAGTCGACAGATTTGTATACCGATTTAACGAAATTTTATGTTAATTAGTTAAATCATTATCTGATTATGTTTTTTAAACTTCAACACCCTGTATATTAGAAACCAGTGACGTTAAACCTTTGGTTTGTTGAAGTTTTTGGTTAAAAATAATCCACAGAATAACATTCTGAAGTTATAACAAATAATTTCTGTATTAAATTACTTAGTTTCTCAAAAGTTGATGCATTATTGTAATTTCTGTAATGTACGTATTTAGCTAATACCATCCTGTAATCTCACACATAGATCTAAATATTACAATGGCCAATAAAATTCGCCGGGAGAGCAAGGGCCTCCATATTTTTAGTATTTAATGTTTCTGGGTTATACCTTATGTATCTACATATATTGATTATCGTTAGGTCGAGCAAAATTCTTTGTAGGATGGTGTATGCCCATCCTCCGACTCTGCCTCCCTAATAAACAGAAACTTAGGGTGGCCTTAACTTGGTCCTACCCAGTGGCGTAACGGCGAATTGATCCGCCCCTTTAATTAATTTACGAAATTAGACAGATTTAAGTGCTTACTAAAAAGACAAAATTTGATAAATTTCGATTCAACTATGATTATTCTTGAAATTATTAATTATAAAAATGATTTCAGATTATTATAATTTATGTAGGTCCCTATAATATTTAATTGTAACTATTTTATCACTGCCTGTTATAAAAATATACACGACAAAGTAGGCAAACAGTACAAGAAAATAAATGCGTTATTTTGTTATTATATGTCTACCATTTAATAATACCTTCATCGATGGTATGCACAAAAATATATTGCATTTCTTGAGAACATTCTACTATTTGAAAATCTGTGGCTTCCACATTATCACTATTATTTTCTACACTGTTACCGTTTTTTATTTCTACTGATTGAAGGGTTTCTTGTCTCTTTTTTTCTGAAATGGTATTTTCTTCAACCATTTTAAGTTTTGAATTTGTACCACTTCACGTTACCACCAGTTCATTACTTTACAAGTTGTTTAAATCCCGTTTCGTCTTGAGCGGTAGTGCCTTAATGATAGTCAGTTCAGAACTGAAACAAATATTTTTTACATCATTCCAGGCCACTCTAGGGTTAAAGAAAGGTCCAACCTCTTCCAAGAATTTAAGAATTCCAATATTTGTTGGTACCGACCCTCGGTAGATCCAAACGCCCAATACCTACCTGAGTGTAATAAATATGCTAAGTATACTTTTTTCCGGTCAGCAGAATTATCCCAAGTGGGATTTGTCAAATTATTATATTGTTGCCACACCCTATTCTTTGTTATCTAGATTATAGTAATTAATAATTTTCCCATTAAAGATTTACATACTTATTTTCGCACATCGTCTTAATTACCGATTACACAAGTAATGTCATAATCTTTTCCGACTTTTTTATTTACAAAATATACCTAAGTATATCAAAATCGGTATATTAAAAAAATGATTTTAATTTCCTTCTTAGTTTGATACACAGCTGCATTGGGCCACTGGGCAATGAATCTCAGCTGTTGACAAGTTGTTAACAAATTGCCCAGCAGTGCAGTGCAGCAATACGGAATTTGTTGTGATTCAGGTAATTTTAATTTATTATAGGCACCCTTCTATTAATCATTCATATTACAATTGCGAAAGGGAAAAATAAGAGGGACGTTTGGTTTACCAATATTATTACAACATGGCATTTTGGAGACCTTTTGAAACGGAACAAAACGAAATTTACCATCAATATAATAAAATTGTTTGACGACATAAATAATTAAAATATGTTGTTGGCCAAATGAACATTATAATATAAATTTTCTACATTATATACAAATTATTAGAATTTTTTACCTTTAACAGAAAACTTATTTAGGGATGTCTATGAAAGTCATTAAATTTTAGTGCCAGGCGTTTTTTTACATATTCAACTGACTTCGGAAAGACTGTACATAGGCGTAACTCGATAAAAAATGCTACTTTAAATATTACGAAAGTTACATACACATAATGGCAAATCATAACGACGGGTGTAAATTATTTTTCTGGCGCAAAACCTAACTGTAAATTTAAAATTAACGGTAATCATAATACATTTTTTCTACTTAATAAGCACTGATATCTTAATTTCTTCCATTAATCATCTCATCATTCTCGATTTTTATATTAATACCAGGGTCGGATTTAACCTATGGTGAGGCCTAGGCCTTTTTTCTTAATAAAACGATAATAAATTTGAAAACCTAAACACATTTTGGTATGATTCTAAAGAAAAAGCTAAAATTCATTTTGCCAGATCTTGCCGAGGCCTCCCGACCTCGTACCCTCCCTCCTTAAGCCGCGCCTGTGTTTAACCCTGTAAAATGTCTCCCTAATTTTGGCATTATTTGCCAGAGACATAATTATCAAGTTAATTTAATTTATAATCTTTTTATGGGGGCCCCTATTTGCTTAACTAATATTTACACTTACTTTATGGCCTATTCGTTGTTGAACATGTCGTACAGTTGATTAGCCAATAAAATCGAAATCATTTGCTGAAATTGAAATGCATTATAACATGAACGTACTAACATTTAATTATTATTGCAAAAATAAGGTGTTACAAAACTTCTGTATTATTAATATAAAATTCCATCAAAAAAGTCTCGATTGGAAATTAGTGGAAAAAGGAATTATTTCAAATATGTATTATATTTCAGCACAGTTATATACATACATATGTGAACTTTTTGTTGTTGTCTTTTTTTTTTCTAGTCGAGACAACAAAATTGTCCATTTTTTTTCAAAATGCTGGCCTTTTAACACATATTTCGTTATTTTCGATGGTTGCGCGTAATAAAGAGATATACCTACCTAATATAAATAATTCAACAGAATTCGGACAAAAATTCCAATAACAAAACTAGACAAAAAGTAATTGGAAATGTGTGAATACTGAATACACATAATACACATAAAAAATAAATGAAAACTAAATATACATAGAAAAAAAATATATGCATTTGATAATTAGGCTGCTATTAACGCACGCAAAGAAAGTTATGGGGTGATTATAAAAGGGCAGGGATAAAAAAAAATGACACCCTATATGTTATTTTCTTGCACACTCAATTTAAGATGAAAAAAAAATACATTCAAATGAACAAAAATGTGTACCAAAAATTGATTTTCTAGTTAAAACATTTTAGAACGATAAAAAAATCTTGCAAGCATTGATTTACACGTCGAGTTTTTGTATACTCGACGGCCAAAATTATAGATAGTGATTCATCGCTCTTGGACTAGTAAGGGGGATGAAGCGTGCCAAGAACGAAAATCCATTGGCGTGTCTGCGTAAAAGGCAACAAGATATAGAAAATATTGAAAAAACATAATAAAACATAACATCTAATATTTTTTACGGTTTGCTATAACCGGCACTTTGATCAATTTTAATTATTACAGCATTTTAAAACGTCCCAGTTGTGTTTTTTTAATTTATAAATTTATTATAGCCATGGAATTAGACCCCTCGTCTACGCTTATGCTATGACGTTTCTCAGGTCGGGCAAATCAAGTCCGTTTACACCCACTAAAAAAGCATTTCCCTATTCCCTACCAAGTGCAAAAGACAGAGATAAAATATAGATCGACGTTCAGTGTAACTCAGTCTATACACGATTATAGATTCTACCGATGTGCATGGCGAGCGGCACAAAGATAAATAATATTGAATCGTATAGAAATCATTTTATATTTTATACGCATTATGGTAATAGTGTTTTTATATTATGTATTAGTCACTCTTTATAATTTCTGCCGCCGAGTATAGTTAAATTGAAACAAAATATCTCACATTTATTCAAATATCTCTTCAGATGTTTGACGTAGATTTATAAAACTCGTGCTTTTGATTTAACTAATTATGGACAAAAATTCAGTGGAGTTGAGAAATTTGTCAACACTGTAACTAAAATCCCTATAATTTCAACGCCAGTGAGTACTTTGGATAAATGCATTTAATTCCGGTTGGTATTTCTCACAAAAAAATGTCTTTAAATTTACTCGAAAAATGGGAAATTTTTTTAGTTACCTACTATTTTTCTAAATTTAAAAGGAGCTTATAACTTTTAATTTTCTGATTGAATTCTAATAAAAAAAATATATGCTTTTCCCCAAAATCCCTACGAACAAAAAAAAATACCTATAAACAGAAGACTGACTGCTTAATAAAAAATAAGGTCGTATTCACATTAAGCTAGTCCAAAAACCCAAACATACCAAGTTTCATTGAGTGAGAAATATAGTGTTTCGCATTCAACGATTAAAGTTACTGAATTTAAATTGGTTTATTTAGCCTTAAAGTGGGCAACTAATAAACATTCGAGGAAGTTGCATCAAATTTTCTTTTGAAGCAAAAATTATCTAAAGTGCAGAAAATTACTATAAAAGCTATGTTTCTATATGTAAAACCCCTTTAAACTCGACTATTAATATGTAATTATTAAAATATTGATTATAATTAGGTGGGCGAAAACGGTCCCTAATTGGTCAAGCAATTTGTGACGTCAGGATCCGGTATATGAGTGTTAAGACTGTCAAGACGCGGGAGGCTGGCGCTGTCATTGCATGTTATTTAATCTTGTGTTGAATTAGTTTGTGTTCGCATTGAATTCTGAGTAGTTTTGAGTAATTAGTTTTAGTGTATAAATTTAAAGACAAGTTTCGTTAATTTTCATAGATACTACGAACATTATCAGAATATCTATCCAGGCAGCTTTAATGCGTAGCGGCTTCAGGATCAGAATTACAACACGAGAACGTGAAAAACATAACAGTGTCTGAACATAAATATTATAGTACCCATGTGTAGTTCCACAACACTAACTGCCCCCAACAAACTATTTAATGTACCAAAGGATGAGAAAATGAGGAAGAAATCATGCAAACATATTTTATAGAACATCTATTTTTGACAAATTATCAGATTGCTCTTGGACAAATCCAGTCTTTAGCCATATAATGTACAATTTTTAAAATTATTAACATTATTGTGTTAAGTAAAAGTAAATAATGTAAAATCTATCCGGCACACGTAGTTTGCATAAACACAAATAAGTAAGAGTGAGACAGACTAGAGAACACGACTCTACACGACTCGTTTAATTTGGACCGATACTGGATCGTGACGTAAGAGTCAGCCGTCTTTGTTTAAGACTGCGTTTTAGTGCATAATTATTTTGAATTTATATATTTTTTTATAGGAAAACTATTAATTAAAAATTTAAAATTTATGTGGCAATTGACTTTTTACGATGAAAGGAATTTAATAAGAAAAGAAAAAAAATGTGAAACTTCCCCAATGGTCTCAAGAGTCCGCAGTTGAGCGGTGTCCCAATCTTTCTGGGATACCCTGTATTTGTTAAAATATAAGTTATTTACAGCGACTGCGAGCGATGACTTTCAACTTTAACAATTTTTTTTGGTAAATTAAATAAAATAATATTGCAAAAAGTATTAATCAGATTTACTTAAAATCTCACTATAAATTATAGCACTGTCAGAAAATTAGAGAATAACGCCATTAGTTTCCGCACAACACCAAAGTCCAATTATTTGCCGCTTTATCGACAACTCGGGCAGCGCTATAAAATCTCTACCTATGTTATGATCTCCGCGTCATAGAACAATCCGAATTTACTGGTAGTGGTATCTCACCTGCAAGGGTCATAGCGGGTATAAAAAGCGCCTCCTGGCCGTCGACGGTGACGGTCTGCATTGGCTGCATTACATTATATGCCAAATTCTGGCCGGCAGCGGCCGCGGCGCTCACCAGCTGTGCCCCGGCCTGCTGCTGGAGGAGTTGCTGTTGCAGCTGCTGGGGCAGGCCTACGGGCACGCTCACCACCTGAGGGCTCGCCACCGGGACGCTCTTCACCGTGGGGGAGGGCGTAGTGGACATGGTGACTGTGGGAGGTGTTTCACTTGAGGTAGGTCCGATTCTGCTGCAGGTGGCGGCGAGCAGCGCCAGAGGCGACGGGGTGGGCTTGGCCTCCTGTAAATAAAGCGGGCGGAGCATTAACCTGCTAAGATTATATGGGGTGTTGTCGAAAATACACACATGAAACAGTTGGAATTAATATTTAAGGCGAGTGTGGTTATTGGATGAAGTTAAAAGCAGATCGGTTATTCGTAGGCAGGTATGTGCCTACCTACTTGTTCAAAAATTATTGAATTGTATACGGGGTCTCCCTGAAAGTTTAATCACGCATTTAGCTGATCAAAATCTTGTCTTTTCTTTTCGAAAACCTTTTGGCTTTTAAAAATTTTAAGGGAATGATTCCATAACATTCCATTATTCGAACATGTAGGTACCTAACTATTTCTTTAATCCGTGGGCGACTGGTTAGTTATTTTAAGGATACAAAATATCACACAAGAGTTTTCGGAAAAAAAGTTGTTGCTTTTGAAGAGTTAAATACATGTTTAAATTTTTCTTTACTTTTGACATACTTTAAATTAGTTAAACGCTATACGAGTAAAATTCAAATCGAATTTTCTGATTATTGGGAGATGTTGATTTTATTTCAAAAATTATTAGTCGGTTGTATGAATTTTTATCATGTTCAATTTATTAACATATTTATTAGTATTTTGAAATTGTTATAATTCACTATAAGTTAAGTTTTTTGTGGTCATTTTCATAGTAACGTATAATAAAATTCATACCTACTGAGGCGTATACAAGCCCCCCCCCCCTATTTTCTTTGCTTTTTCCTTAAACATTTATAGTATCCCTCTCCCTCAAAAAATCACCCAAATTCTATTTTGAACACTTTTGTGAAATAAACACATTTAGATTTATTTTTGACTAATTCAACTGTATGGGTAACAAACTTATTTTAGATTAAAATTACTTGAAAATGACTCATTTTTCGAATGAAATAACAATCTCCTTTTCTTATAATGAGAAATTCTAAGAAGAAGCAAATGGATCGATTTCACCAAAATTCTTGTAAATCAATCAATCAAAATTATAGAGTACAGAGTACATATACCATACCTACTTCCAGTATACCTACTACTATATTGTTTTTTATGATAAATTTCTCCTTATGATTTTATCCCTCTCAGGGTAAAATCCGATGCACATCACTGATTCTCGAATTCGTGTTCAAGCAAATTTAAAAATTATTGTGTATTATAAAAAATACCTAGGTAGGTATAACGCAATAACCTCGGTACAACCATGAAGGTATAACAGCACTGCTATAATTCGTGTTTTTTTTTGTTATTAACCATCTTCTTCAATATCTTAAATTGTGACGATTTGTCCTTTTAAAACTGAAGCTACGCCAATGTAGATAGATACGCAGGATACAAAAATAAAACAGTTTTAACTTTCTTAAATGCAAAAAATAGTTTCTTATTTCTTCCTTTAAATTTCCCGGTATTTTACAGGTTTGTTGCAACATTATTTCTGGACAGCAGACTGGGATTTAATTAAACCGAGACACATTACGCCCGAGGCTCATACTTTACGCAGAGTTCGTACAAAAAACAAGGTCGTCGCGAATGTCGATGTAAAATTAATGAAATAGAACTCTCTCTCTTTTTAATACCTACATTTCATTACTGAATATTTTCTATTGCCTTAAAATAATTTGAAGAATAATAGAGAAGATAGATAAGAATAATTCGAAGCTATTTCCGATCAAGCTAGTAGGTAATACGTATGTAGGTATGTATTACCTACCAATTCTCCCCCGATAACATTATAATTGTCAAACTGTAACATATAAATATAATAGAGCTATCGATTTTACCCATTATTCATGCAATTCTGCTACCTCGCATTTTTATATATCAGGATGTTGTTATAATTTATATAAACTAGTGAAAAACATACGTATCACATTACATACACAATGGTATGCTCATGAACTTGATCACTTGCATTCTTTATTCAGAAGCAACAGTTGTAGCGGGTAAAGACCTTAATAAAAATTAAAAAAATTGCTTCAGTTGTATAACATGACTATTATTGGACGTTAGGTGCAAAAAACCCACCCATAGACTAATTTAGTTAATAAGTGTGGCATCCAAGCCAAGGATGAGCCCCGACCTCTGGACGGAGCGAAGGTTCGACCTCCTCTCCTATCTGAAATCAGGACAAAGCAACTCCCACAGCAACGTCATGTGGCCCGCCCGCCCTAGCTTCGTTTCACCACGACAAAATTACCGGCAGTCAAAGGGACGGCACTCACCTGGGTTGAATTTTCGACGTATTCCACTCGAACTTCCTGCACCTCAGATGTCATAATTTACGAATATTAAAAATTTTATGTGCATTGTTAAGTTTAACCACACTACAGTTTGTTGTGTTGTAAACCGTGCTTTTATCACGCACTCGCGACGTCAATCGATGGTTCGATTCTCTATTTCGTAGTTTTAATTCACTGTTTTGCAGTTAATTGCTTCTAATTACCGCGTGGACACAGTTAATTGACAAAATACCCAATTGGGCGTGATGTATTTTGCCCAAGACTCCCAAGCTGGCTAAATTCTATAAGTTACAGGCTGGGCGATCAAGGCACAAACCACGCCATTCTGGGACTGGCTTTGGTAGGGAGGGACTCGGTCGCATACCCAGCGCGGGTCTTTCAACGAACGCTGCATTACTCGGTCAGCTGCGGTTCTTAGATGGGGGTATGGGATGCATAATATTTAACTCTACTGACATTCTCCAAAATTTAAAACGATTAATTTGTATATATCGTATTAAAATTACTAGTTCAAATAAATATGAAATAAATTTAATTTTATAAACATTTACATTTCATATCGAATCCTCAATCAGAACCAAATAAAATCTAGAAATTCAAATCACATTTGACAGTTTCCTTTTTGTCAATAATTGGCAAGGTACTTACATGAGTAGGTTGGATATTTTTCTTTATATTTTGTAAGCTTTTTTGCGACATTTTTATTTTCTTTTTTATGTATATACTATTTTTAATTTTACATCATCTACATTTGATAATTGTTGGCCCAGTAAATTGTTAAAGGAATTATCACAATTGGCTGTACCTGCTTGCGACGCCTTATTACACATTACAATAAATTAACCAGTATATCAGTTCAAATTTAAGACCACCAACTTTTAAAACAAAAATATATTATATTAACAAATCACAAAGCACTGTACTTAAATTATGTTATACTAACGCAACTGTAACACGTACGAATCTACTTTTATGTAACTAATTATATAAACATTTTATAATACGAACACATATGCCAAGATTGCAAGGCCCTTGACAGACTTTCCGTAAAATTTGTTTCATCAAATTAATTTGATGAGGACATCAGAATTAATTTTCATACCATTAATTAATAAACCAAGAATAGCTCCAAAAGATTTATTTTTTCAAATAGGTATGTTATTTTATAAATATTCCTATTTCATTCAATTAGGAAATAGAGAATCAGAATTTGGTTTGTTTACCTAATATTTTTATCAAGCAAATTTGATGAAAATTAATAGTCTCATACAAGTTAAATATCATTGAGTTTATGTAACTGCTGAATGTAATTAAAATTAGTAGCTACATTGAGCTCTCTGACTGTTGGATGATGTGTCTAAAAAATAATGTTATTTACGAGCTATCTTTTTGCGAATTAAGTATGATTTAAATTTAAACATTTTATGACTAGGTATTTTTTCATTTATTTACTGAGAACCTCACTAATAGGGCTTATGGGTATTTACACCTAGAGTGTTAAGGACAAGAAGTTCTTATATATATTTTACGAAAATACATTTAATTCTGTTATGGTTGTTCAATTCAGCGTAATCAATAATTTATATTTAGACACATGTTTATAATGACGTACTAATCTTTTCTCTATGTTTCTGTGGGTATTTAATTAACTAAAACTTTAGACAATATAGATACTAATCTACACTAAGTTGCAACACACGGTGGGAATATTTATAAATAGAATCGTTCTGTGAATGTAATTTAATCTACACATACGCTCGCATTCTTTCGTCGGTTAAAGGATAGGACGCCACTGGAAAAGGTTCAGGGCTTTCTCCAATGTCAGTTGTTTCCTGAACCGCTGTTCCGAAGCAAGTACAGCCGTGGGCTAAGGGGCGTCAGCCGTCTCAAATCGTGCCGTCCCGCCACTCCCCTCAGCATTGCTGCTGCACGTTGACCCATTTGATGGGCCTGTCCCTCGTTCTGTGCACGTTTTCTGGTTATTGAACACAGTCGAGACGTATTGCGACCGTTTCCAAGTTCGCGTAAATTACAGTGATACAGTAAAATATACCAAACGTTCCGCGTTATTCTCATCTTGTCATAAAAATAATTCATTCTTATGTGTGTACGTAGATTGATCACCTGCGATTCCGAAAGAGTTGAAATGCAGCAGTTCCGTGCAGGGGCTGGTCGTCAGCGGGGGTGTGTGCCCGGTTACGCCCACCGCCTTTGCAACGTACCTTCTTTGCGAAATTAACTCGCTTGCTGTCTGGTTTGTCGCGTGTCGCGATGCAGAGAATGAGGGGACAGTTCGTCGCATGTTTAGCCGAGATTAAGCTGAGCTTAAAACAATAACTTACGAAAATACGCATCCCTGAAGTTACGTAAATAGAAAAAAAATTGCCCCTTGCAAGTGATAGGCACATAGGCGTAGAGGGTTAACGTAAATCGTATATTTTGTTGAATATTTGCAGTAATTTGTTTTTATGGAATGTACAAACACTCAAGCAGAATGCTCAAAAAAGTAGGTCACAGTTAACCACAGATCCTTGCCCAGAACCGCAGGTCGAAAATAATGGGGCATTTATTTATTTTTGCCACTTTTCATTCAGCCGCCTGGATGTCCAATGTTAAAATTTAAAAAATTAAATATATATACCTATACACGTATTATTGCTTGTTTTCATCAATGCATTTTTTTTCGAATTTGATTAAACCTTAATTTACCTAGGTAGGAACTTATTTATTTCAAATCGATATTTTAAGTTTGTTATTGTTATCTATATTGAAATTCAGAAAACGAAGCATGTAAGAAATTAATATTAAAATGGACATTTAATATGTCTACCCTTTCTAGACGAATGCTCACTGGGATGGGGTTCTCTTTAATAAGAACCAAAATATGTAGTTTTAAGCTCCTGCTTCACACACATTCATTTTCACAATTGAAACTGCATATTTTGTATTAAAAATTAATAAATAAAAAAACATTTTCAAAAATCATAATTCAAAGTTCATTTGGCTGTTAGGTAGATGTTATGTAGAAATACATTCCACCCAAAAATATTTTTGTAAACTGGTAATAATTGAGAGATTAAAAAGAGCAAATCTTTATGGATGTCGAAAACTATGAACCACCTAAAGAAAAATTGTATAAGTTTGAAAGATATACAGGGTGTTTCATAATGATGTGCAAATATTTTAAGGAGGTGTTTAGAAAGTAATTTTAGGGGGTACAATATATTATTTTATTTGAGCCCCCCTTGAGAAAATATTCAAATTCAAAATGGTCGAAAAAATTAGCTTTTATTTTTTTCAAGAAAACGGTTAAGTTTAGAAATTTGAATTTTGGTACACGTTAACAACTAGTTGAATGTTTTTTTTTGGTAGTCTTTTTTCTGGTGTATGTCTGAATGAAAGAAATTAGCACCTCTTAGTATTATTTCTCTCACAACTTTTAGCTACGTTAGCCAATTCAAGCAAGAAAAATTAGATTTAATAGTACATTTCATGTAGAAACTTTTTTTACTCTTCCCATTGTTTCGTATACTTAATGGTTTACGTGCAAAAAAATAAATTATTTTTCCTTGCCGATTGGGTACACATAATTAGTATAACAGTTACCAAAATCGATTGTCGTTTTTGACATGTTTTTTGTAAAAATTCTTTTTTATCGATAGGAAAAGCTTAGCAAATATGAACTAAAAATTTAATAAAAAATATAAAAGCTAATTTTTTCGGCCATTTTGAGATTTGAATATTTTGGGGGCTCAAATCGAAAAAATTTATTGGAAGTACCCCCCCCCAAAAAAAAAAAAATACTTTCTAAACACCTTAAAATATTTGCACATCATTATGAAACACCCTGTATAAGAAAAACACTCTTTAAAAACAGATTTGAATCATAGGCCCCAAAAAATATGAGGGAGCAATGGATACTACTCGTATATGTATACTACTTTCCCCCATTCGCGCTTCGATTTTTTGCAAATTTTTAATTTAACATTTTTAAAAACATTGAAATTATTAACAAAAACTTTTCTTCAAATTGTAAACTTTGACACCTTATATCTCGAAAAAGAAGCGCCTAAATAAAAGCTGATATACCTAATAAATAGACAGTCTTATTATTTTGCCCAAATAATTTATACGTTTTACCTACTTGTTTGGAAGATCCTGTAAACGGTACATATATAAGTATACAGGGTGTAACTAAATTACTTGACTAAACATTAATGGTGGATTATATCTCTCAATATAAAAATTTCCGTTGTCCGGAAACGCTTAATTTTCGAGATACAAAAAGGTTTTAAATTTTGAAAAAAAGCTCGATGTTTTTATATTACAAAATAACTGAAAAGATTTTTTCCACATTTTGGTACGCAGCTTCAGTTTTTTATTATCTACAAGATTTCTTTTAAGAATGTAAGATTTATACAGGACAAAATATTATTAGGAACGGTCGTGCAGTAATTAATTTTTGTGTTCAATTTTATCTCTTCCAAGCTATTTCAAATTTTATTGTTGTGCGTTGAAGCATTACAGGAACTTATTTTGTTAATTTGTGATTTAGAATGTTTTGGTGTAAATGTGAAATATATCTACCTATAAATAAACCATTCCCAAAGTAAGTAATAATCCAAGTTATTGCAACTGATAGAAAAATTGTAAAATGTGGAGTAGGTATATACTAGCTTATACTGGATTAGTTTTAATATTTTTTATATGGGTACCCAGTGGCGGCGCGTGAACATTGGTTGAATGTGTTCGCTTAGGGTTGTTACATTTGTTGAATTGAATTCTGGGATATTAAGTGCCCGGAGTTTCTAAATGGCGCCGCAGGCGAAAAATTTTAAAATTTTCAAGGTCACGCGTTTTTCTAGCACTTCTCAATTTCAAGGAACAATCCATTTATACAAAAATACAGATTTTCACAATAACGATTTTTGAAAATGATACCTTTTTGAAATATCTATTCACGAATTATACCTACTGACGGTATAAATAAATTGGAATAAACTAAATATATTTTATTAAATTATTGAATATTGTTTATAAACAAAAAAATCGTTTGTGAAATTTACCAACGATTCAACGAATTTTTAATTTTCCTCGCCGTGTTATGATTTTTTCTTTATTTTTATATATTATATAATTTATATTATATTCCGGGAGTTATACGTGCAAATCCGAAATCCGGGACCATACAGCCAATTCCCGGTACAATCACAGAAAATCCCGGTCATACCCATGTGGCTAGATGTTCTTTTAATATGTCGTCTAGATCTGCACTAAAATTTATGAGTCCACGAAATACATCAGGGTTGTCCGAATTTTCTGTCTTGTCGTGTCCGCGAAGTGCTAATTCGAAAGCTCCGCAAAATTTTATGGAATCTATGATTTTAGATATTACATAACAATTTTTCGTTACCTGTTCATTGTGATTCCGTATATTATCCCAATATGCAGAATCTAACTTACTTATTCTTATGTTTATTTTATACACTGTATATCCATGCTTTATCCCCATCGAAAAGTAAGCACGGAAAACAAAACAGTGTATTTTTTAAATCACACCCGCACACCCACTCTGCTTTTGTGTATACATTGTTAAATTGTCTTTTATAACTTTTACTTCGGCTTGTTCCACTAACTTCAATATTTAATTGTAGTGTTGGCCCACCTAATTCCTTTATTTTTAGTTTATCCTCATAAGGCAGAGAACCAAATAAAGTTTTTTTTTTTAAACGAAACGCTATTCATTTTAGTAACTATAATATCCGTAGACGCCTAAACGAAAATATTCACACGTGCCGTTAGCAGAAATAAACCACCACATACCACGTACGAAATATTACTGCATTTTCTCTATTTCTCTTACTGCAGCAGTGGCTGTCGTTGCAGCAACAAAAGCCCATATAAGAGTGTACTGGGTCACGTGCCTGATTAGCCAATAAAAACAAAGGACGCATCTAATCGTTCGCTGTGCACACATTTTGTATATTAGGTTGCATATATTAAGGAGCGTAGCTCGCGTCGTAAAAATAATATAAGCTTCTAGATTTATTTGAGCGCGAGTACATTATTTGGATTCTTTAAATATTTTGTTGATATTTAATATGATTAAATACATAAAATTTTATGTGTTCTGCAGCTCCGCAGCTCTTATGGTAAAACCGCCACTGCATATGCCCCATTATACGGAACTGTCACCACTAGCTATTCTCTCATATTTACCTACGTTCTCGTTTTTGTCTTGTATTTTAATACTTATTAGTAAGTGAAAAACTAAAGCAAAACAAGATAAACAGATTGTCTAATGGTTCAAAGGTACGCAAAAATCAGCAAATTAGCAAACTTATAGGGTACAAAAACAATTTTTAAACAAATTGCTAACCTATTAACACTAAGCCAAGTTGTTTGAACATATTAGAAAAAAGGGAAATAGAGAATCAGAGAAGCCATATATGCAGTTAAAGGTACCAGTTTGCACAGATATCCAGGTGCAATTTTTGTTTTTTGTTGTTGAATAAAAACTGGTTACCTATCTAGTTATATAATAAATATTTTAAATAATGGATTTTTCTTGAAGTTTTTCCAAAAATAAACTGAAATAGTACCTAAATCGAAAGCTTTTTTATAATTGTTTATTTACCTACTCGTAAAATCAGATTTATTATTCTTTTACCTAAAATTTCAAATATATCGATTTAAGAAAATCTCAACATCAAGGTAAAAAAAATGTTTAGGTATCTGAATTTAGGGTAACTATACATACCTTATATACCTAGAGCTATTATGAAAAAAAATTCTTATCTACATTAGTCAATTGAAAAGCGTTCAAAGTGTCTACCTACCTACCTACCTAAAACAATTTAGTTCTAAAGTTCCTCAAAGCTGAGTTTAAAACTTCCTGTGCTTAAAATATGTTACACGAAATATTTTGTTAATTCTTTAGCAATTTTGCAAATATTAAAGTTGTCTTTGAAACTACATGGTACCATTTTATTTTTGCTGTTATTGCTATGAAAAAAACAATAAGTATAAATATTTTTGGTAACAGAATTTGAAATTAGTCAAATATAAATATTGAAAAAAAAAACGGCGATTCCTAACAAACTGAAAACAAGTTATACCTGCCTTAAAGTTACCTTTTTTATCTCCAAAATTGGGAAAGTTTGTGTTTCTACCAGTCCGTCTCTAACATTTTGTAATTAAATATAAAATTAATTTTATGCATCAATGTACCTAATCACACTTAATAATAGATAAATACGTTTACTCAGTACTTTGATAATAAAACTAATCTTTAATGAATTTTATAGGATGTTAAAAGATGTAGGTAAATAAAATGAAATCACAGCAATTGATAAACCGATCGATTTATTCATATTATGAATAAGTAAGATTACAATAATGGAAATATAACATTTTATTTTTATTCATTCAGTAGGTAGGTACCTTCATATATTTTTTTATTTAAAGTAAGAAATAAAAATATATTTATTAACTCAAAAATTTCAGAAAATTGTATACTAACTATTATAGATGATTGATACACTTGGATAAAAATTATATAATTTTTTTTTTAATTATGAATAGTGCAGCACCTCAAATTTTAGTGTCAAAATTATTCTTCAATAAATTTAAAGACGTATTGGTAAAGGTTTTTTTATATTAACAATGGAAAGATTCTTTGACTTTGTGAAAAACAATTGATAAAGCTCTTTTGTTGATCGAGTTAGATCTGAAACTGGTAACATTTTTGTTGTGTATTTGTAACTGAATTTTTATTTCGGTGAAAAGTGGAAAAATCATTTTTGAGCTTTTAGAATTATTACAACTTATGCGATTATGAGATATCTTTTTATTTTTGAAATTTCACACACGAAACAGCATTATCAACTGCTTTTCTGTAAATTCGTTGTGGAACCAGGAAGTTTTAACAAAATAAACATTAAAATCTTTAAATCATGTTAAAAGAAACTCATACTTACCTATTGCCAAACGTTTTAGGTTTTCTTTAATATTTACATAAACCGATGTAACTTTATACCTAGGTTTTGTTCCATTTTTGCATTACTTTTTTTATTTAGTCTAGTACAATCATATAAAAAATATTGTAGTATCTTAATACCGTAGAAAGAAAATATAATTTTCAAATGTTATATTTACTTACTATTTATTATTCACAGAAATATTAAAACACTTTATGTAAAAGCTATATAATTCTACACACAAGGTGATAATTTCATGCTCATTTTTGTTTATATAATGATTTCTTCTTTAACAAAATCATACATACTTTATTTTTATATGTACTTATTAAAATACATTCTGATCAATAATGAACCTTTCAGTCACCTATACTATAACAAAATGCATGAGTGACACCATTTCTACAAAAGCTTACACAGTAGGCTTGTTTCGTTTTCAGTGTTTTAAAGTATTTGAGCATTTCGTTTATAAGAATAACTAAATAAAAACCCTTTTGAAAATACTATTAACCCTCTAAAATTGTTCGCTGACAGAACTGAATAAACTTATAGTATTTTCTTTAAGGGTTAATATACAGGGTGTTTCAGAAAACATGGGCCAACGCTGGGGGGCAGATTCCTAACCTAAAAACAAAATTACTTTTTCATATCAACATAGGTCCGATTTCGCTTCGTTCCTTAGCTACAGGGTGTCAAAGTTTTAAAATAAAATATGTTCTTTCCAAAAATCTAGATTTCCACTTAAGGAAATTAAATGAAATTTGAACTAACTATTTACAACCGAATACACATTCCTAGGTATTATTATGTTGAACATGAATTACAGGACCGGACTTACTGGAAGAACTTTTTGGAAACCGCTGGATTGGAAAAGGTGGTCCAATTGCGTAGCCGCCTCGTTCCCCATAGATTTTTACCTTTGGGGAAATGTGAAAGAACTTGTTTATAAAACTTCTGTCACTTCAAGGGCAGCGTATATCAGACTCATTCGCTTTAATTCGCCGAAACATAGGGATATTTCCACGAGTTAAAGAGACCATCAAAAAACTAATTCGATGTTGCATTCGAGCTCAAGGTGGACACTCAACTTTCCCGTAAAATATTATATTATTTCTATCGATTCAAGTTGTTTATTGCAGGTACGTTTACAATTCATAATTAATTCTAGATAAATAAATGTTTATTTTAATATTACATTTAAAATACCGAAAACTTGAGGGAAAACAAAAAAATAGTAAATCAATTTTGGATTAAAATTGAGATAGAATCTACCCCATGTAATTATAAATCATAAATCACAACGGAGAATCAATTTTTTCTTTGATTAAATCCAAAAGCTTGGAAGTATGTCTGGTCCTCTAATTCATGTTCAACATAATGTGTATGGAGGAATGTGTATTCGGTTGTAAATAGTTAATTGTCTAACTTTCATTTAATTTCCTCAAGTGGATATCTAGATTTTTGAAAAAAAACATTTTATTTTAAAACTTTGATATCCTGTAGCTAAGGAACGAAACAAAATCGGACCCATGTTGATATGAAAAAATTATCTTGTTTTTAGGTTAGGAATCTATCCCCGAGCGTTGCCCCATGTATTCTGAAACACCCTGTATATATTTTAGTAGCGAGTACACAAAAAAAATCATATATGAAACTGGATCATCAAGTTGATTCTATAGCAAGGGTCGGCAACTGGCGAACCGCGGTCCAGCTCCGGACCGCGAAAGGTAAAATACTGGACCGCCAAAAATTTTTTGAAAGTATAAATTACTCAAAATAAATTATTAAAAAGTTTTTTTTTTACGTTTGAGTGACAACCTTATCATTTTTTCTAGTATTTTACAATTGTGAGTGTTTTGAGTTCTTAATGGTTAGTAAGCAGATTAAATTTGAGTTCAAATGAAAATTTGTAAGAAATATAAATTTTTTTTCTGGACCTCGTTAAAAATTTTTAAAAGTATCCGGACCCCACCTAAAATTACTTGCCTACCCCTGTTCTATAGAGACTGTTTCTAATGAGCTTACAGAATTCTATTTAAATTGTTCACATATATACATTTTTGTAAAAATTTCTCTTAGACTATAACATTTATAATTATTGATTTTTATAAATAGAGACTTTGAATACCCTGCAAAAAATCTGGAACTAATGTTAAAAAATTATCAAGATTTATATTGTAAAATCTGTATTCCCAAAAACATTGAATGTGCATCAAAAATATATTTTTGTATACTAAAATAGAGACGTTTCCGGTCAAAATTGGAAAAGAAAATAAAGATCTATGTTACATAAAAGTGTTTATTTTAAGTAATATCTTTGGTAACATAAGTAACTCTTGAATTATCTACTGAAAATACAACACACTTGGAATCGTAATGAGAACAAACAATACTCAAAATGATTGTACTTGTTCGAGCAATTTATTCTTTTTTTTTTTGGTCATAATAGTTAATTCATTTAATAAATCACATTCTCATCATTATACGTAAATAACTTCCTGCTAGTATGATTAGTCATACCAGCTAGAACAAAACAAGACAATGTACAAAAAACGTAATGAAAAAAATTATTCTAGTCAGATTTTGAATTTGAATTTTCCATTTCAAATTTTATCTTACTTTTAGTTTTTACGGGACTTATATCCCTCGAAGGAAGAGATTCAGGATAATATCTCTGGAGCATTACACAACCTATGACACATATTAAAGATATTATAAATTGTATGATTAACCAAACAACTATATTAACTGCTTGAGTACGTCCAAAAAGCTCTTGCCCATGTTTTATACAAATCAGTGCTTCCGACACCATTATGCAGCCATATACCCAACACTGGGTACCTACTCTTTTGCAGGTAGTGTCAGTTGTATAGCAATAATATTGCCTAACAGAGGGAGCTACAATAACACCTATTAGTATTAATCGAGCTGTGACTAGAGGGTGAGAAGCAGGTAGTTCAAAGACATGCTTGAGGAAAAAAGTATTTAACTCAGAAGTTTGCCAAAATAGCACTAACTGACAGAGAGCAAAAATCCTCATGTAAGAACACTTCGGATCAAGCCACCTTACTGAGGTCCAACTTTCAGGCGTGAACTGGAGCATGGCACGTTTAATTTTGCCAGTTGTTGAATGAATATCTTTTATTCCTACCCATTTGTATTCTCGCATTTCCAACATCTGACAGATTTTTAATCCACACCAGATACCTAATCCGTTACAGATAAGAACATCTAATATTAAAGCATCCCACCAACATTCTATGAAATTTGGTAGCAAATGGGCGAATGCAAGTTCCGTAATCTCCCACATACAGCTAATAGCCCACAAGATTCCCATGTGTCTTATCAGAATAGCTTTAAATAACCATCCCAGAAAATGCCCGAGGGCAAAAACATCCACGTGACCCCAAATTCTCTCTAATGTTATATCTGAGCAATTCACTCCATATTCTTTGTCCATGTTAATATGGAACTCTTTTAATTTTGGGTCAAACCAGACCAAAATGCTTTTCACGGTCTGATAATTTTGGAAAAGAATGAACAGACAGCCTAGTAAGTATAAAACGCTCATACCAAACACCATCCTCCATAATGCTGGATGTGGTCGTGTGAATGGTCCATTTGGGAATGCCAGAACTGATACAATAAGGAAAAAGAAGCAGCAACATAATATTCCAGCCCAAATATTATTCTCCACGTTGTCAGTATCCCTAAAAAAAAAAACACTTTTGTAAAAGTATGTTGTCCAATGTTAATTGAAATAATAACACTCTATGCATTAAAATAACTCTTCGATTTTGCTTATTGTAATTAAGAAATGATTTATATTTATAAAATAAATAAATTAACTAAAGTAAAATGAAAAATAACATCTACTGTAAACAAAGATAACTAGTTAAAACTCTCTGTTTTGGATAGAGACCTCTGGAAATATTTTTCAGCAACATTTCATTTTTTTTTTCTAATATTATTAGATAAATTTGACTTTTATTAACACATAAAGAGGACATTCCTAGTGTTCCTGATATATTTCGTAGAGAAAGTACATATAAAAATTCAGGGAAATTTTTTACATAGACTGTGTGCAACTACATATGTTTTTATTCATCAGTTGATCAGGAAAAAAATATTTTGCAATATGTACATGTTTCGAGATGTCAGGGTTGGCCATCCCTATTTAAATTTTTTATTTTGTACATTTTTTTCGAAATTATTACATTACGAGAGTTGCCTATGTGGGTCTAAGAATCATCCCCTATAACACTATGGGACCGAACTTCATTATCAAAATATGACCACGAGGTGTGACTGGATGATAGTTACATAAGTACCTCTTTGAAAGGGAATGGTAGATTGGTAGATATTTAACGTGATATCTCAAAAATCCTTCCAAGATCTTATTCAAATTTTAACTTTAGATGTCATATTCCACATAAGTATTGTAAAAAAGATAGTAGTAGTAAAGATGGAGGACAACTATCACTATTTCGCCGTGTTTATTTTTACCTCATTTCATTTTTTTTGGTAAATATTGAATATAGACTATTAGAGAAAAGCGTGTTTAATTCTGATATCTGAACCATTTTCAAGAAATAGCAGGCATTTGGAACAATTTCTGTAAAACGAGTATTTTAGTACGAGTTTATATTACTTAAATTTAAAATTTGCTCATAATAATCTATCTATTTTCAGGTATTTTTATTGCATTTTTATATAAAAAAAAAATTAAATTTTATATGTATTTAATAATTGATAACACAACTAGTTTTTATTTGGTGGAAATTGTTCAAAATATCTAATATTTAATGTATATGATATGATATTGATTGTTTAACAAATGATATTCTGGAAATCAGTCATAGGTACTCCATGTGCTATATGCCCCAACTGGCACTGAATTTATACAAATTGAAGGTGCATTTGTAAATTTCGAAACATAAATCACGTGTGGGTTACATATAACCTATAAAGCATATATTACTTATTGTCATTTGTCATTGCTACTTTATGCTTATTGGCATAAACTGACCTATTAATCTGTAGTACCTACTAACTGGGTTAATTTATGCCAGTAGGTACAAAGCAATGCTTTGCGTCAGTAAGCATTAAGTAGCAATAGGCTTTTCTTCGCGACTGAATATTGGTGAATATCTGACTTGTAGTTACTATTTCTATCTCTTTTGATCTTAATTGTCATATGGTAGTTTAAATCTCTTCTTTCACTCATACTATACATACTACAACATACGACTTCACTAGCGAAAAAAAGCCTTATGTCGTTTAAGACATGACATATGCTTTACAGGTTATATCTCAACCACAAATAATATTCATATTATGAAATTTACAAATGCGCCCTCATTTGCAAACCTTAGAATTTCTTGGAAACAGTTCAGTTTAATGAAATTAAACAGAAATACCCTTCTTCTTCTTGATAATGCAGAGGTAAGAAATTTTTAAAAATATTTTTAAATTAGGTCAAAATAAAATAGTCACTCCACACAAGTCATGCGATACTGTAATAACTAGTGTAAGTTTATAGATGATTAAGATATCCCAAAGGACTTTTAACACATTGCAAATATATGATTCTACCACCTTCTGTTAGAGAAGCGTATTATTATATTGTCCATAATTATTTATTTATGGCATTAGGTATTTTGCCAAACTGTAAGGATTTATAAAAAGGCACTCTTTCTTTTTGATGTACCTACTATCCGTCCTAAAATTATAAGGAATCAATTTTATATGTTACACTATTTCAAATCAGAATTATCTTTAAAAATTGCTAATGTTGATAATATTATCAATTGCTAATAAGGAAGGTCGGTAGGGTTAAACAATATTACTCCAAACTAGAAGGTTACAAATATAAAATATATAATTTCCCAAAATTTACTGAATACAACTATACAACTTGAAAATAGATTTATTTAATGTCGATTTTTTTACTTTTTAAATTTTAGCGACATCAAGGGGTCAAATTTATTTTTGGATGTTGCGTACATATACCCAGATTTATAAATTTAATTCTTGATTAATTTTAGTCAAAACTGTACATTAAAAAAAAACATTTAAATTGCTGCAAATAATAGATGTTGCTTATATAAACAGACATTCACAGACATTCTAAATTTTTTCATTCATTTGTTCATGACTGCTCATTTAATAGGTATAGTTTTGATAACATCAATTTTTTTATAATTATTTTCAATAAGTTTATAAAAACAAATACTGCAGCATCTTATATAGATACAAAATCACGATTATTAAAGAAAAAAATTATAAAGAAATATGTTTATATAAATACTCATTAACTACCTAAATACAAGAATCCATCGAAGGTTGATTTAAAAATAAATTTGTATTTACAGTAAAGCTGTAGCACCTGCTTATTTTTGTTAATAATGTAAACTAAAAATTTGTGACCGTTAACGTTGTGATTAATTTCTTTAGTACCTCATAAAAAATTATCTCATTTTGGCATTCATTATTTTAGATGCAAAAAATTAACATTTTGTTATGTATTTAATGCACACAGAAAAATTTAAAATTGCTCGAAATTACCATAACCTGAGTAAAATTAAGATGAAAAAATATTCCTCGTTTTATCGTTGTTTGTTTTATTTATAAAAATTCAGTATTCCCTTTGTATTACTTATGTAATTAATTATGCTTTCTAAGCTCAAATTTAAAAATCGAGTTTTTATTGACATTCTTGTCGGTATAAACTGTCTTAATTTTAAAATATGTATATGCAATTGTATTTCTGTTAGAACTTCTAGTGAACGTGAATAAAAATTGTATCTTTTAAATCTGTAACTAAATTATTTAATTTCAAAATAAAATATTGAATTATTTAGTTATAAATATATATATATAGAAAGTATAACTGATCAGATCACAGATAGACACTGTTATGTAAAATACATTTCTACTGACCTGACAAAAGCAAAATAAATTACAGCTCCTATTGAGATCAAAAGTAACGTAATTGTGTGAGGATTGTAGAAAAATTGAAGGGAAATATCGTCCACTGGTTTTTCGTTTATAGAACTAAAACTGTCAACTCGAGTTCTTGAAAGTAACACCTTTCCATTTTTGCTCTTCATTTTTTTCTAGATTCATGAACGGACGAGAAAAACGTAAGAGTCACCTTTTCGCTCCTATTCATAGATTACTGATAAAATGTTTTGGTTTGGTTTATTTTAAAATAAGCACATGTGACATATCACCACAAATCACCCCACTTAAATTGACATATTGGAAAGAACTGCAAAGAAAAAATAGTGAAGATTTACATGTTGGTAGTCCTGCTATGTAGTGCTTTCAAACTTTCAAATTAAATGCACGAAACTCTATGTATCTGCTTAGTGAACTTATAAGGGGGCTTTCGTTTGGGCAAAAATAGTACCTGTTAGCAACTAATATCAGTTCAAAGTAATTAAGTTACTACTAGTTACTAATAGTTTCTATTTTTGCCAAATCGAAAGGTCCTATGATATGTTATATATTGGGTTCAATACAAAAATACCTTACTTCAATATTCAATATTTCAATAGCTATCCTATCCCTAACTAGATAAATTAGTGAAAACGAAGTACTCTTGCTTATAATTTTTATTCGTGGAAGTTATGTTCTGAAGATCAATCGATCAGTAATCATTGTGGATATTTATTTCCATTATATACGAACAAAGGAATGCGCTTTCTTATTGATGGCAAGACACTCAAGACAGCAAGACGTCAATAAATTTTAACCTCAATTCAATATTTTAAGTTTTCCTTGGTGTGAAGAATATTTAAGGAAATTAAATTTGTTATTGTTTCTGTGTTAGTCAGTCGAAAATGTCTAATAGGCAACAAAATCGCCGATTAAAATGGAGTTTGGATAGTGTCAGGTTAGTTCAAGAATTTTATTATAATCGGTGTAATGTTTGTATTTATTCTAGAATAAATCGAATATCTACCACAGAGCCTCTAGCAGCTCCTCCAGCTTATAGTTCATCAAATATTGGGTCAAATATTGAAGTTTCAAAAAAAACTGATGTTTCTCGTTTAATTACAAAAAAGTCCTGGGATCTTGCCCTGGCACCTCTGAAACAGGTGCCAATGAATTTATTTATTATGTATATGGCAGGAAATTCAATATCTATTTTTCCAATAATGATGGTGGGAATGTTATTGATGCGACCCCTTCAAGCTATTTGGTCGACAAAAACTACTTTTAAAATGATGGAGACATCTAATGCAGTTTTACAAATGATTGTCTACGTTCTTGGTAATTTTGTAAATATAGGTTTAGCACTCTATAAATGTCACAGCATGGGTTTATTGCCAACATATGCAAGTGACTGGTTAGCATTTGTGGAACCACCAGTGAGACAAGAATATTTGGGAGGAGGTACAATACTATCATAATTTGTATTTTTTTTTTATTTATATTAAAATATTGTACTAATAAAACTTTTAAATATAAGAAGGTATTTATTGTTTTCTATGCTTGTCTGCAAAGTCTTTAATCTTCTCATATAAAGCTTTTGGATCATCAACTCTAGGAATCTAAAAAATATGTAAAATTTATCAAATCGGATTAATATAGCTGTTTTTCAAATTCTATGAACAATAACAATGCTATTACTACTACTGGTTTTGAAGTTACAGGACAATTTAATTTTATCCAAAAAATATGTATCTACATATTTAACCTTGGACATGTCTGTGTAAAGTAAAATCGTTTGTGTTGCTACAAATTTTAACACATGAATACCATGAAAATTTTGTAAACAAGCGATATTAAAGCCCTAACGACAAATATATTTTTTTAGCTTTGATATAACCTAAATTTATTATACTTACCTGGCAGTATAAATAAAACTATGTAATTTATACTGCATTCTAATATTTGTATAAGATTTATCAACAATTTAAAAAATATATCTTATGAATATACTTACATCATAATTTTGGCTTACATATATTCCTGCATATACTCCAACCAAAAAGGATAACTAAAAATAAAATAAATAGCTACTCTATCATAGGTTATTACATTTTAAATAATTCACTTACAAGTCCTCTAACCATGATTTTGCTTTGATTTGTGATAAGATTTACACCAAGTTAGTGTTTTTTTATATACTACTTACTTATATACTGGGATTTAGGACTGGTGGTGTCAATGATCTAGGTATTGTCGTCTTGACGTTGAATTTTAAATTTTTACGATCCTAAATAATAGAGCACGATTCCGTTGCTTTATAAAATATAAAACAGAAAAACACATAATATATCAAGTTATATTTTACTCATGAATAACTATAATCTTAAATTTATGAATTAAAAATATAAAATATTTACGTACTTTCAAAGAAAATTTGCGGGTTTGGGAGAATATATAGTTATGGGCATATTCAGAAAATAAAATTTCCCTGTTTCGACCAATTTGTTAATGTCCTGTCAAATATTTTGCAAATGAATATAATTATCAAGGATTTATATTTGATTACAATTTTGTGTCAAAAAAATTTTTGGTCGGCTTGTTTCTGTAGTCATGTCTGTAGTCTTCATGGGCTTGTTAAAAACTGCAGACATGAAATAGATCACAAAACAAAAAAGGCTGTGGCTATATTCAGGCGATAGAATTCATTATATAGTTAGGCCCTGTTATTTTTTATTTTATTCATTATTTCAATTCAATGGATTGATTATGTAGAGCCTAATTTGGACTGTCCTGGAACCGCCATTATTCTATGGCTAGAAATTGGCCTCAATGATTTGGGATCGAGGGGGATTATCCCTCTTTATCCTGCCTCATCTCGTGTAGGCCTGGACAGCCTTCGTAGGTGGGCCCCATCCGTCGTCTACCCCGACCGCAATTGCGGCCGGTGTAAGCGCTTTGTGGGACCTCCTTTTGTCCTGGCTGGGCCCCGCCGGCTAGGGCCCTTTCTTCTGGCGCTCTTCTTGCTTCGCCGGCTCGTCTGTGTAAACCCCGGGGGTAGTGTCATGTTTATGTGTGGTATGGTTGGGTAGGGTAGTGCGGCTATGCAGCCTGGGATGCGCTTTGCTAAGGTGGCCCTTAG